ATGTTGCTTAATTTTGAGAATAAATAAGTGCAAAGTGTTATGATATCTAACACCAAGCATGACCAACTCTAATCGTGACACGGCCCCGTTAGAATTGCAAATGATTCTTCTTAATTCAAAGGAAAACTATAATTCTAAACACTATGGGCGTAATAACAGAAAGAAAGCATTATTTATAAATAATTTGTTTTATAAAAAATAAACATACAAACGTTTAGGAAACCAGAACTAGAACCTCCGTAAAAGGTCATTTCCCTTTCATAATTAATTTAAAGAAATTAAAGAGGCTGCCTGCTAACTTACTTCTGAAATTTTTTCGTCTTCAGTTTAAGTAAATCATTAAAAAGCTCTTCCTTTATACCGTAAAACGTAAGCCACCTTATTGTTTGCTAACTTCTTTGGTAATAACCAAATGTTTGAAACTCCTTGCCCTATTACATAAGAAATGCAACGAGAAAGACCTGTTTCAAAAGACTGATTCATGAACACTTCCTATAGACTATGTATATATACAATTATTTCGAATATTATTTATTACATATTTCTTTTTTTTAATATATCTTATTTTCATTTTCATTATTTAAAATGTCAAATCTCATCCATCCCTTGCTGCGCCTACCAGAAAATCTTTGTATAAAATCTTTTTTCTTCTCTCTTTGTATAAACCTCTTATATAGATACGTAACCTTCAACAATATCGATTTTGCAACGTTGATATTGTTGCGATGGAAATCAAGGTTATAAGATTTACTGTTAGCAGTGTAACAGTGTCGGGCCTTGAGTGCATGTGAAACACCATGCGGCGCAACGCTAGACGATTTCGTAACAAGGTCCCGTCCTTGAATCGAGACGCGATACTTTACGCTGTGGTCTCGAGGGACCGACATGTAATACCCCACTAAGCCTATAAGATAACACACCTACTACGAGGCCTTGTAACGTAACGCAAAACCCTCCGTTTAATCTAAACGATCTACTTTGTGTCGTTTAACGATTTAACATATTCAAGGATAATTTATTTGTGTTTCTACATTTGGTTAAGGCCACAAATGGAAATGAACTGAGCCTCTGTTTGTTTTTTTTAATTGTCTAACAAATTGTAACGGGAATTAAATAGATACGGCTACGCCTGTGAATCCCGTTCTGGTGTGAAGTGTTATTCACATTCTTCGCGATTATAGTTCACAAAGCTTCATCACCCACGTCTTTACTATGATTTTCCTTATTTAATATTTGTGAAATTTAACGCTCCATTTATAGTACTTACGTATAAAATTTGATAATGCATTTGGAAAATTGTCATGATGTTTCTTTTTTTTTTTCACGAATAAAAAATAAACATATAATTTTTTAACATTCAATTTATTTTCCTCTTCTTCACTATATGCGCAAATGGGTTAATTTTCTTGCTTAAGTTTCATTATTGCCGTTTATTAACGCATCATTAAAACCCTTTTAAAATCAGGGGCCATTAAATTTGTCCCAATAAGATCACTCTCAAATTTATACGACTATACTGGTATTATCATGGTTTATGATTATGTCAGAGTAATCATTTGTAATATTAATTAAACCCGCTTTCATTATAAACTAAGACTCTGATTTCCTCTATAAATTTTAACAGAATATTGTATGTACTGGTCTAAAGTAACACATCTTCCAGGTCGGTAAATTGAATTAACAAAAATTATAAATTGTGCAGTAGAAGACAAAATTTGTGAATCCGATATACAGACACGATTTGCGTATACATTTTTGACAAGATTTAAAACAATTTTTTTTCTTAAACTATATATATCGTATAGGTACTACGCGATTTTAGCCCGCGTTAATATTGCTACGTCACAGACACATTTTTTTATTAGCCACACTCGGAGCGACTGAAATATTTTATATTGGCGCCAAACATAAATAAATGTTGGTTTCGTCGCTCTGGCGACAATTACGCAGTTACAAACTTTTTACTTTCGTGTGGTAATAAATTATTTTAGCTGGAATTAAATCTGAAACGCCTCCGTGCAAAACATTATTTAAAAAATGAAAATAATCGTTTCACTGAATATTACTTACGTTCAAAAAATTGAAAAATCGTTTGTTTCAGAGCATAAAAAGTTTCAAACTTTAAAGTCAAAATTGAACGGACTTACTATGTTTTAACTACTTTAATTTACGTGTAATTATTTTTTGCGTCAACTTTTTTTCCAAATAGATATTTGACACCTTTGTTTAATGCGATGTTCTCATTCCGTTTCTTTTACTCCTACCAGATCTTCGTATCTTCGTATTTTCATTCCAAGTAAAAAACGGGTAAAACAAAACGCACTTTCCAATTAGTTACGTAAAGAAAACTAATATATAAAAGCTTAGTGTTTCTGGAATGTAGTGTCCGACCGAAACTGGTTCTTACGACCGAAACCGGAACCGAAACCGAAACCGAAACTTCCATAAAAGGATCATGTTTTGAAAGAATATCTTTATATCATATAGTTATATATATAATATATAATAAATATCTTTCTATATTATAGTTATGCAGGCTTCGACATTGTCACTTATTGGTATGATAATCAACTTAACAACCCCATATAAAAAAAAAATATTAATTGCGCCTTAAAAAGACTTAAAATTTGTTTATTTGAGTAGTTAAGATTCTTCTTTTGAATATTATTCATGGTTATTTTATATATTAAACATAAAATTTCCTATTTAAGTTGTTACCTAATATCACAATAGGAAGGAAGTATTAAACAAAAGAAAATAAATCACTTTTATCTTAAGAAGAAATTAACTTCTTCTAATCTTATAAGTCAATTTCTATGACTTTCAGTAAACAAAAACAAAAATGTAAAAGCAGACAATAATTTCAGTGCCACTTTTCTCAAAGAAGTTTCGTTTCCTTAAATTTTTTGTGACAATTTGTGAACAGTTGCACGTAAGGTCAGTGATTATTTTGCGGCTTATCATAAAAAAATAAAAGTAAAGTATCGGCCTTAAATGTCCTACTGCTGGGCAAAGGTTCCTCCTCTGTACAGAGGGTATCAGGGCATAGCCACATAGCATTATCCACGCGGCCCCACTGCGGATTGGCGGACTTTAAATATTTTCGAAATATTTTTTTTATTATTTCGAAAATATGCAGGTTTCCTCACGATGTTTTCCTTCACCGCTGAGCACGTGATAATTCAGCGCTTGCAATTAACAATTTCATTGGTGCCGGCACCATCGGATCGGGGATCGAACTCAGGTTGCTCAAGTATATTGAATTAACGGCGAGCGCCCGGACATTGAGCTATCACGGCTCATAGAGCTATCACGGCATATCATAAATATTATCAGAATTTTACTTGATGCTTAAGGTGTCTTTTATTGTAAATTTATTAATTTGTAATTGTATGAAGAGTTTTTATTAATTAGTCAGCTGTCAGACGATTTAGACTCAAACGTCGCAGCGTCAAATAAAATTCGTTCATTCATCCAAATCACATCACATTGACGAACATGAATCAACGTAAAAAAACCTTCAACGACCCATCGCTAGTCTTCGTCGCTTGCTTGCATGGATGGAATTTAACGCACTGATCTTGACCGATCATAGCGCGAGAACTCCCGAATGCAGTTTCGGTTTCGGTCGTAGTTTCGGCAGGTTTGGCGCCGAAGCCGAAACTAAACCAAAACTAGTTTTTTTTTGCCGAAACTCGACCGAAACCGAAACCGAACATTCGGTCGGACACTACAGAATTGTATTCGACATAAACTGAGTCGTCATCTGCCGACGTTGACGAAAGGTTCAATGTTATCTTATAAATATAAATACTATTTCAATATAGCACCATTTTTGTATAATATGATAAAAATCCCACTTTAATAAAGAAAAAAAAAGAAGCAAAAAAGCAATATATACAAAAAATAGAAAGTATGTAACTAAAATTTCTGCGTACCTTTTGTTCGTGCTATTCACACATCTTGTTACGTAAGGTATAAACAGTAATCCCGAAATGGCCGCTTTAAAGCTTGATATCCAAATACCGTATCAAATAAAGTTTCATTGATGTAAAATGCGTTAGTCATGTGATGTAAAATTCTTTAAGTTTTAACAAAAATAGAAAATCGCGGATGGTGACGCGCATAATTTGCTAATAAAGGGACTTAGACGTCACGCCAGTCCAATTGCGGCGAACCGACGGAAGTCTTGGTTGCCAACTAAGACACCGGATTACTCTCATTGAGATTTAATTCATTAAAAGCAAATCAACGCATCACCGACAGCGCATGTGGAGTCATGAACCATACAGCCGCCTGACTTCCGCCGCGTTCTGAAATAATAAAACTGGAGAGAATAACCGCTACTGACGGCTTATGAGTCCGCGTGGAAAATTTATGTCCGAATACATTCAAAATCAATCAAAATCAAATGTATTTATTCAACATAGGAGCATTACACTCACTTATTGATAGTCAAAACACTACCACCGGTTCGGAAAAGAAAGCCACTGTACTGAGAAGAACCGGCGAAAGAAACTCAGCGGGCTTTTTTTTTTTAAAATAAGCAGTTTGACATAAATTCGTTAAAATACAATATAAGAACTCCGATTGAAAGAGCCTGGAGCGATCAGTTCATTACCAGAGTGTGTTATCATTTAAATAATCATTAATATTATAATAGCCTTTAACACACAAACGTTCTCTTACTATTTTTTTTTAATTTAGCTATTGATGCATTTTGAACGTTTTCTGGAATTTTGTTGTAATAACGTATACATTGTCCCATAAAAGATTTACTTATTTTACGGAGTCTACTTGTGGGTAGGATCAATTTATTTTTGTTCCTAGTATTTATATCATGAACATTATTATGTCTTAAAAATTTATCCTTATTTTTATGGACATACAAAACATTTTCAAAAATGTATTGAGCAGCAACAGTCATTATAAGCAGGTAGTGAAATAAAAGAACTCAAAGCATTTTACTGTTTCAGACTCGCCGCATATAAATCGTCAAAATGAGGGATGAACGTGCCAGCACGCCGCGCGTTCGTATTGCAGTCATCGGGAGTTCGCGCGTCGGCAAATCAGGTAAGGGACCAGTAAACACAACATATAATGTTTCTGCAGCGAACAAACATATCAAAGCGTGTCGTGTTCCACTGAGCTAACGTTTCCAAGGTCCAGTCTTTCCATCCTTCCAAATAACTCGACCTTCGGTTTTAGTTGTCTACTCCTTGGCATACTATATCTTGTAACAATGAATTTATAAGCACCAATCCTTTTGTTCAATTTTCAAAAACATCCATAAAAGATAACAGCGATAGGTGGTGTATGTTCCACACGAGAAGCAGAGGTGTATTTTCATATTACTAAAATTTACTCTGGCAAAGAGGTCTCTGTAAACAGGATCATTTAAAATTTTTATGTAACTTTTATATGCCCGTTATATATATGTGTATGTTTTTAGATACATTAGTATATATTTTGATATAAAAGTGCATACTTGACGAAATGGGTCTTCAAACACTCATATATATTATTTGTTGACATAATATTCGTTACGCGTTCATTTAAGTACATTGACATACTTTTTAATGTGATACATAATTTACAAATTTTAAAAATATGCCGGCCCGTTTATCGATTACATGTTTCGACCCAAATTTTCTTAAGTGGTGATCATAACATAAAAGGTTTATGGTCCGGAAAAAACGTTTTCTGCGTTCTTTCACTTTATTACGTTTTTTATGAAACTGGCTAGTCATAGTTTTGTCAAAAAATTTAGAATACATGACTTTATAAACACGTAAAATTTATTGTCGATATATATGAATATGAATAGAAGTGGATCATGTTTATCTTACCATTAGTGGAATCATACCTACTATTTGAAGAGAGCATCTGCGCATAGTCCATCACGGTACACAAATATGATTGGTGGTCTTCCTATTTTTACGCAATATCCAATTTATTTCTCATGCTCGGGGCTTCCTTAGGGATCCTTCTGTCGGGAATCAAGCGAATGAAAATCCGTTGTTTATTTTGTATACACAATCCACAATCTGTTGTTCATTTGTATACACGTAAAAAGTGTTGACGAAAATTTTTGTATTTTATGCCATTGCAAGTAAATACACTACGTAGTAAAACTCGTAAATGGTCATTTCAAATTTGATCTTTGGGAGTTTTTTAAACGAGTGACTGTTTATGAATATCGGCAATTCGATTACACACAAGAGTAATAATGGACGTATGACCTAGATGATATTACACAAAGCGCTATAGCAGACCGGTGACCCATTCCGCCGGGTGATGTAATGCGAACGGCCAGCAAATTTTCTAAAACAACACGACGTGCCGCTAAAGCAATCTATCCCTCGAACCACCAATGTGTGGCTCATAAATGTCAATCGTTTTCGCGCGGCTTTCAAAACAATTAACGGCGGCCGAAATGTGTATTGTTTATCGTGGGGTCAACAAACGTAAACTTTTAAATAGAGCTTCGTTACGATTCGTCCGTTGATTGTAAATGAAATTCGTAAACGATCATATATCATAGGTGTACGCGCCAGACTTTCTGTTTCTCTGTAAAAGTTTATTTTTGCTGACTAGGGTTAAAGTTAAAGTTTTACTAAATGTATTTTAAATGAAACCATTATATAGGAACAGACTGTCCCGTGGGCCGTGACCAGCTGGAAAGGGGTTCGTAAAGTCGGGAATTAAAAATCAAAATTAAAACAAGATAAAATCCGTGAAATAGTTTCATTTAATACGTATAATATTCGCGTAAAAAGAAGAAACTCTACTTATTGTATTCAATGCATCGGAAGATTTTTTCGCCCAAAGGAAACGGCGAGTTTATGAACAAAATTTAACTTTGATCTTACGGTGGTAGGGCCACGCAGTAGCCACGGCTGTTGCACGAATAGGCAGGCTCGTCCGGGTAAGTACCACGACCTCACAGAAGACCAGCGTAAAGTAGAAGTATAATACTTTCCCGTTTCGTCTGGTGAGTGAGGTAGTCGGAGCCCAATTTTCAAAAGGTTGTCAACGCATCTGCAACCCTCAGGTGTAGCGGATGTCCACGGGCGATGGTATTCACTTAACATCAGGTGAACCGTCTGCTCACTTGGCAACTTTTCACATAAAAAAAAAACTTTGATCTGGAAACCTTGCGGTGTGATGTCCGGTACTGACTTTAAACGGTGTTCTCCAGCAACCCGCGTTCAAACTCTCATGAAATTGTTAATTGTCACGGTAGATATACCTCGTGCAGAAACCTGCACATTTTCGAAATAATAGAATAAAAAATAATTTCAAAGATATGCGACGTCTAGAAAACCGCACTAGGGTCGCGTGGTGGACAATGCCTAGGTACTCTTTATCAAAAGGCGACTTGTGTTTAGCAAAATATACATACGCTGTTACTTTACTTTACCTTATCGTGCAAAATAAAACAAAATGGTAAATAAATTGCCCCATAAATAAATTGTTTCTATTATTACCTTAGATTTTTAGTATATTACACTTAAGGCAAAATTAATTCATTATAATTATATACACATTGGGATTTACTTCTAATATGAATTTCTCTTTTGTTCCAGCCCTAATTGTTAGATATCTGACAAGGAGGTATATAGGAGAATATCATTCAAATACAGGTTAGTGAATGCTACTTATATAAACCCGACAACACTCAAGTACCAACTTGAAACTCAGTAATGTAATCTAATATTGTGATAGTCTAGCTGTGCCCGCGACTTTATCCGCGTGAAATTTAAAATGAATAAAATTTCTAAAATTAAGAAGCCAAAGTTACTCCTTATTACATCAGCTGCCAATGAAAGTCCCGTCGAAATTGGTTCAGCCCTTTCAGAGATTAGCCGAAACAAACAGGAACACAAAGAGACAAAAATTGTACAAAATGTTATTTCGGTATATGCACCGCGTGCATCCATATGTATTTAGTACAAAGCGGTTATTTTAATATTACAAACAGACACTCCAATTTTATTTATCTGTATACATTATGTGTTTTATGATAATGTTAACTTTGCAGATCTACTGTACAGACAAACGGTGCCGATTAATGGCATGCCAGTGGAATTAGAAGTTATCGACGTGTCCGGTTCAAACGCCGACAAATTTCCAGCGGAACAGGTATAGCGATAAATCTATACTTTATATCTCCACTTCATTTCGTTTCATCCCTTTCCTTTAATCTGTGATCTTACTTTTAAATTGAGAATAGTTTTATTAACCAAACACTTCGGCTATAGGGTTCGCGTAAAAGTATACTTATCGTTTGAATTTGTTTTCATTTGTGTATTGCACTAAATGCATTGCAATGCGTTGTGCTCGTATGTAGGTTAATGCAGTTCGACACGGGACCTTGGTGAGCTTTCAATAATTTTCACCTTCGCGAAATACAGCTCGAACGATGAACGACCTTTGGCTCCAAACAATAATACAGTCACTAAATCAAAAGATGAAGTCGGGTTTCTTTAATATAACAAATACCCCGGGGTCGTAGGCTTTAATGGGTTATCATAACGGTGTTTTTAACGCAAGCTGAACGTCATCAATAATATTTATTCAGAATTTTGCGTAAATATTTGAACGTCCATATACTATTGCGTATTACTTTTCCGTTCGCGAACAGTAAAAACAAGTGCATGGCTTCCGGGTGTTGTTTTTCGAGGACTCCAATTTATTAGTTAGCCCAGTTATTGTGGAAAGATAGATGGGATCTTTTTATTTTCTGCGATTAGATTTGTAACGCTCGAACACATCTCGATGCGCCTATAGCGGTAGTATGTCTGGTTCGGATCCATGGAATGCTCCCGCGGTCCCTTCCGCAAACAAATCAAAGATTAAACGGAGCCCGAACCCGATTTATGTCCGCACAACTGGGTTAATAGCAACGAATTTAATACGAGCGCTAAGAAATGCTCTAACGCTCCCGCCCCAGTGACCGCGCAAGCCGTGACTCAATGTTTACATATCTGCAACAATAATTGTTCCAGCGTGTCCATACTTTATGCGTTCGTTGTCTGCGTTGTACGCACTCACCCCGACCTATTGGATTCGCGCTGCCAAAAAGCGCGAAAAGTAAAATTGGTTATTTCTGGTTTCCCGCCTACTGCCAGTTAAAAGTAACGCTTCCGTGCCCTTACGATATGCGCAGAAAAGTGTTACAGTCGGACTCAAATTACTAATGACGTAAAAAACTTCACCGTACACGTGAGGTTCCTTGTTTTTTTTTTTATTTACCGTTATAGACACTTGCCTTTGTATTGTAAAAATACAATAGTTTTTTAAATTACTTAATGAAAAATGATATTCCAGTAATATTCCTAAACGAATCTGTGTATTGCTAACGTAATAAATAATATCACGAGTTATAAAAACTGCTCATCACTCTCATATTTAATACTTAAAAAAACAATAAATTCGAAGATATTATAAATCAGGTTATACCTGAGCGTCTGTGCCAAAAAATGTTATTGTCTCTGGTTCCAATTGCCCAACGTTACAGTTAAAATTAAATATGTTATAATAAATTACGTTTATGCTACACGTGCACCGCTTCCTAGACATCGTAGGTACTATCGATATTACGGAAGGGCCACTTCGTTCGCTATAAGAGGGCAGACTGATGAATGGAGATAGGTCTGTTCGAGTCGATAACGACTCGACATAAAATTCAAATTTAGATTTAAAACCAACCCAATCGGTGAAGTTCTTGACTGTGAGCAATAAATTTGTAATAAAACTTTGAACGTTTTAAAAGTTAACATAGGATTATTTTTATTTTTAATGCTAAACTGGTTATATGTATACGTCCCTGGTACATAATAGACTTAGACTTCCGTAGTTAAGAATTAAATAATGAATAACAATAAAAGTACATGAGAATATAAGTTAGTGATTTGATTTGTTGATGATTATGAAATGTTTTCACAATCGTTCTTAAATTATTTAATCACATATTTTCGTTGTTCACGCATAGAATGATGTTTTTGCTTTAGTGCTAAATGATTGATATCAAGAGTGAGAAGCGACAATATAGAGGAAACACGTCGCAAGCCGTGAAAGCGCCCGTGAATTGGTCAAATGTCTAATTTTAAACAAGAATTTGGCACCGGAACCCTAATTAATCATAGACAGTTCGCTGTCGCAACTTATTCGGTTATACCATTTTGTTGCCATTCACTTGTACAAGTATTAATACATTCTAAATATTTCATTCATTCATACCATGTTTTAATACGAGTAACTTCTTTATCTCATTCACTCCACGACGTAGATAATCTGGGTATTTTCAGAAATTCCGTGCGTAGGATGACTTTTGTTTGATTACAAATATTAAATAATTTAGCACTATACAAATAAAAATGCTTTTATACTGCAAAGAAATCATCGTAGTCATGAAATGGTAATGACCTAGTCTCATTGGAATTAAATTCCTCTTAGTTAATAGTATAATTAATTACCTAATTTAATTAGAAATAACAATTGAATGCGAATAAATATTTAATTATGCTTTCAATTCGATTTCGCGACACAATTGGCACGTGTTGCTGGTAGCTATAATATTCTACCGGAAATGAAAACATACTCGTACTTTAATGTGTTCCCCGGTATAAAATAAAACGGTGAATCCATCCATAAGGAAGACCCTGAAACTGAAAAAACATGAAGAGTCATTAAAATAAGCTTTCGTTATATGTACACCCTTGGATCGACTGTTGAACGTTAAACAATAAAGGATTCGCTGACCAATCGTCTAGTCGTAACAGTTTTACGAAGGCACATCACTCCTTTATTCATTTACGTAACAATAAAACGTAGAAATGCAAGGACGCTCTACTGTGGACGTACGGCATTAACGGTATCATGTTCCGTAAATTTTATAGCGGTTTTTAAAATGCTTCCCAAATTTCCCCGTCTTGTATGCAGCTGTATAATACCATTCTCTTCTATAAATTCGGACAAAGACAATAAAAATGAGCTTAAAAATTAAAAAAAAATAACAATCAATAGAGGGTTCTATTTATGACGAACGCCATATTTTTTTGCTCACTTAAACTCAGATTTAAAGTTCATATAAATATTTCACGCTTTCTAAAATTTTCGCTTTCTAAATTCCAACTTAAAGTTAATCTGAGTTTTGTTTTTTTATTTTTAAATTTTCTAATTTCAATCTTTAATTTAGTTAACCTTTGACAAAGTTTCAGATTTAAGAAAATATTCTGTGACTGATAATGATAAAAATAACCTAGCTGTCACGTGTTACTTTCTGAAGCGCATCTCAGCGCGTCTGCGCTTCTTGTGGAATAAGCCATAGTACTAATCAATACTATCTGTGTTAACAATTGCAGATACAATGGGCGGATGCCTGTCTCCTGGTCTATTCTGTGACGGACCGCAACAGCTTCGAATATGCCACCGAGGTGTTGAACACTTTGAAACGGAGTCCACCGCAGGGCAGCCCAGCTCACGGCCCCACCCCATCACCCTCCACAATGCCGCTCGCCCTATTAGGGAACAAGACGGACTTGGATCACTTGAGACAGGTCAGCACATGAATAAGTTTAAAATGGGAAGACTGTGACAATTCTCTTTGGATACAAAATAAATCACCGGTCTCATCCAGCTGAGAGGTACTTTTAGAACGTGGTTTTGATTACTACGCTAAAATTAAACGCCGAAAACTTGAGTTCAATGATTGTCCATTAATGAGATAATCAAAGAGTAATAAAATTTCTTTTAGAACCTAACCATTCATTTTTTACTATGTTTTGTCTGCATATATAGAAATTTGTTATATCATAATAATAATCTGGTAACGTTACTAAAACGCGACTTTACTTAGGTACGTGACCCCGAGTGGGAGGATGAGTAGGCGTAAAAAAATATAAGGATAATTATTCATGAAAAATAGTAGCATTTTCTTACTTTAAAAGCGGCCCAGACTCCAATCCAAACGAAGCCACAATTTCTTTTTTCACTTCGGCTTCAATTATAAAATTAAATTGCTCGCAGACGTAGCGAGGCGTAAACTTTTTTTTGTTTCATTTACCGTCAGAAGGTCGTGTACCGTCAACATTAATTTGACTAGTTAAGTGAACATTTCAAATCTTAAACGTTTGTTTGTATAATATGCTCTTATCTTTTGATGGCACATGATCCCTACATGAAGACAACGCTAGAGAAACAATTGTGAAAGTTCCGACGTTGTCTGTGTAAAGACAAGGCGTGTTAATGTTCTTGTCGGCTTTTGAACTTTGCATGCGATATTCCGTTCGTCAAAACTATTTCGAGCTTGCGAATTTTTATTATAACGTAGGTACAGACACTATTGACATAGCACAAAACAACATAATTGTATTTTTTTTTTCTAGAACTTTGCGATATCTATCTTTGAATACATGTATGTTCGCAATCGATCTCAATTTAAAAATTTCGAGGCGCGACTGTACATCGTTGCTATTTTCGTCAAAAGAAAACTGACGATCCAGATATCGATAGCCGCCGTACGTTCTGTGAAAATCTTGTTATTGATTTAAATCTGTACAAGATCCTTACGAATACATCTTTCTTCATTCGTATTTTAACACTCATTGCAAAAAAATTTGCAATCTCTACAGTGAACACAAAGATATGCGTAATTTTTAAATACAACTATTTAATATTGACCTATCCATTTGTGTAGGATGTTAAAAGTTGTCAAGCGAGCAGGCGATTAATTTGTTAAGTGATAATCGCTGACCATTGAAATCTACATATACAAAGTGTAAATACAAAGGTGGTTGATGGTAACAAAGTCAGTCATCCAAAAAAATCCCCTCACGAACAATACAAATATTTCCAAAACTATTCGAATTCACTTACATTAAGTTTAAAAAAAAATGTTTTTTTTTTCTATAAACGACTGCAGGTGCCAACGAAAGAGGGGCAAGCTGTCAGCGCGGCGCACGGCGCCTCGTTCAGCGAGGCGAGCGTCGCAGACAACTCCGGTGACCTCTACCGGTGCGTCGACCGCCTCCTCGCCGAGGTGCGGATGCCGCAGCGCACGCGGAAATTCTCCGTTACGAAAATGCTCGGCTCGTTGATAGGTGATTATTGTAATCTTTTTTTTAAGTCTTTTTTACAAACGGTCAGCTTAAATACTTAATGTTCGATTAAACCCCACTTCGAAGGGTATTTTAATCGTACTTGTGAAAAGCGTTTACATACACATAATATACAAGAGCAAACACCTATAGACCCGAATGGCGTAGTGGGTAATGTCAGACGCAGAATCTGACAAGGTTATGGGTGCGGGTTTCCGATCCCCACTACTACTTCAAATGCTAAAAACCAATGTAGATAAAAGACGTTTGGCTTATTGGCTAAAGCGTTAGTCCGCGAATCTCGAAGAAGTGGGTTCGATTCACCCTAGCGACGACAATCTTTTCGTACTTTTTCTACAAATTTTAATCCCCACTACTGGAAAAATATTGTGTGATGAACATAGGTTTTTCTATTGTCTGGGTGTTTATTATGTATGTGTAATATGTATAATATGTTTAATACGTATTTATAAGAAAATTATGTTTAAGTATGTTTATCAGCTATCTACTCGTAGCACCCATAGTACAAGCGTTGGTCAGTTTGGGACTAGAGAACATTGTTTAAAAATGTGTACAAAAATATTTATTTAAAAGGTTAAAAAAACATCACTCTTAGACATCTTCAAGTTACAGTCTTAGTTGCCAAATTAAAAAAAATGAGGCCTGGTTACCTCATTCGCCAGACGAAAATCGAAAGCATAATCGGAAGCATTATGCTTTAGATTTTCGCGCGGGTCTTCAGTGAGGCCGACAGCAAAGACTGTCACACGGGCGAATTTCTCCGCGGCCCTAGTAATAGTACGTAATGGGGCCACGCAGTTGTCGTTTTTTAAACCGGCGACGGTCTCCATGGGCGAATCACCGTAAAGAGTACGGTGGTGGGGCCACGCAGCTGGCGTTCATAGCACCGGCGTCAGTCTGCACGGGCGAACCACGTTTAGAGTGCGGATGTGGGGCCACGCAGTCCGCGTTTGTAACACTAGTACTGGTCTCCGCCGCAGGCGGCGCGACGAACAGCAGCCCGGCGAGCAGGAGCGGCTCGGTGGTAGCGTGCCCCAGGGTGCCGGCGCCGTCGCGGCCCCCGCTCGCTGCCGCGGCTCCCTGACCGGCGCAGCGGCCCGCGGACCGCGCCCGCTGATGCCTCGCCGGCGCCTGGCTCGCCTGCCTCCCGGCGCCATCGCGGTGCAACGCCCCCACCCCGCTCTCAGCTAACTAGGAAACGGCGGCCGGCGAGCACAGCCCCCAAGGTCACCCCTAAGTCGGCACACCCCGCTCCCAGATAAATAGGAAACGGCGGCTGCCGAGTACAGCCCCCAAGGTCACCGCAAGGTCGGCGAACGGCGAAAAACAGCGAGGTCACAGCGCCACCGGTGAACTCCGCCCGCGAAGCCTGTGTTTTGGTTACAGATAAAAATAGACATACCGAATTGCCTGCGAATTGTTGGAATTATCAATGAATCGCAGCAGCATTGCTTTAACCTGCAAAATGAAATCGTTTGCAAACACTTACAAGTGCTGATCGGATATGAGGTAATCCATGACTAGATATTCGGGGTGTTAGTGAATAAATAACCGGGACTACTCTTGCCAAATATTGGTTCCTAGTCATTAAGTTATGAACTTAAAAGTAAAAGTGCATAATTGAGCTAAATTGTGTACTGCTTGAGTTTAACTAATTGTTTTACGTAGATAATTTAGGAAATGAGGAAATATTGTTTACCTATAATCTGTATTTAATGTTTCGACAATAATTAGCGCAAGTAGCTAAAAGTGTCAACCCTTTGGGGAATAGGTTTAACCATTGTTTTGCTATAAATGTGCCAAAGATATAACAATTTAGAATATATGATGCATTATTAACATTAGAAATACCTACAACTTGTTCTTGAAGTTTTTGTCAAATAGTCTTATCTCAAAGAGTTAAAAGGAAACCAAAGATGTATTTATTTCTTATATATATGAACCTACCTTGCTATAAATTAATAAAAAAGTGCTTAATTAATTTTGTAATTATTCAGTAGATATACCACCATTATTTTTGGAGGGATTGTATCCGATTTAAATTACGGCCTGCCTTTTAAATTTTTAATGCCTAATAGATGTAGAGAGAATTTCGATTAACTTTTTTATACTTTTATACAGTATTATTAAGATAAGCTAAGATAATTAATAGGATAAGCCATTTTAAGTAATAATTTTCCGAAATTCTGATTCAATTTATACAAATGTTTTTCTGTCACAGTTCATACATTCGACACTGCTGGGATTACACAATTATTTATGTTACTGCTTAATTATTACCATTCTTAATTAAATCTTAAAACATGCAGTTTGCACTTGATGTTGTATATTCTATAACTGTTTATTTCTTTAAATGTATAAATTAATGCAAACAGTCTTATTATAAATTTAAGGGAAATTTATTTGAACCAAGTAAAATTAAGATTATACAGTAGACAGAAAAAAGTCAATATACCCAATGTCTTTAAATTATAAACATTGCAGATTAATTTCAAATGTTTAAATAACGTCAAACTCGCTTAATTAAGGAACATTTTTGTTGTATTGTCACGACCAAATTACTTTATTTGTACTAATTTTTACCACTGATCATTATGTAAATAATTGTCATCTAGTCATTAGATATTAAGGCTGTGAAAAGACATTTTATGGTAACTGGTACTACAAAGTTAGGTCACAAATATTGATATTGTCAAATACTATAGAAAAACCATCACTGAAAATTAAGAAAACTTATCCGCGTCAAAATTAAGAAATCTAACATGCACGAGGTCACGTGAATGTTAGATTTTTTTTAATTTTCAATTAAATTTAATATGTATATATCTGTCTGTTGAATAGAAAAATAGATTGTTTATGATTGTTAAAAAAGAATTAAATGAAATGTAGTTTATGTTACATTCGGGTAGCATTATTGAAATTGTAATGAATAACAAAAAAAAATTACAATCTGTTTGAGCTTTAGGGTGTAGGTAATTGTGAGAAAGTATACAACGGAATAAAATATGAATTGGAACTGATTTGTATAAGTTGTAAATAAGTAATCGTATACATATCTAAGTTATGAAAATAAATGTTCTGTAAGAAGATAGCCATTTCTTGTTTTACTTTACAAAATTCTTTTTACAATTCATCTTATATATATATATATATATATAAACGACTCCAGCGATTTTAATGATTTAGAATGTGCGTAGATTAGGGGGCGAAAAATCGATTTAGCTAGGTTTCATTTTTAGAAAATGTCTATTGTCTAAATTGTCTAAATCCCTATTTTCAGGGACTGAAAAATATCATTCAAATATGACGGTCAATTTCGCTAAAAAATGTTATAATAGCTCGGTCGGTAATCGGGCGGCCCCGAAACATAAGGTCGCGGTTCGTCACGATCATTTACACACTTATTTTTTTCTATACCAGATCATTGCTTTCTTCATTTTTTATTTTTTTTATTTCCAAAATACACGATTTACCAAAAAAAAACTGGTCCTCCAGGTACTCATTATAATAGACCTGGATAGGGCACATCATATTATTGTTTAATGTATGTAGCACATACAGCGTGTATTTACAATTGCGACAATAAATGAACACACACATTTAAACATTTAAATTCTTTAAACATCAATATTTACAGAGTTATTAAATTTTCCAAAACAAAGAATTTTAGAACAGCCTTATCTATAAAAGCGTAACATAAAGTTTGTAAAGGTAAATGAGATAAAAAATTCCTTAATTTGTTACCGAAAAAAAAAAACGCTGTTTAAAACAATTTTACAGCTTTCATCGCATTTGATTTATTTTTAATTTCCCGCCGTTTTGATGCTTTAAACTTGAAAACATCCATCGTTTCGTCTGTTGAGTGAAATAACCGGGGCCGGAGGACATTTTTAGGGTTCCGTACCCAAAGGGTAAGACGGTCTGTCTGTCCGTCTATCGTGCTGTATGTCACCAGGCTGTACCTCATGAATAGTAATAGTTAGACCGTTGATATTTTCACACAGGCCGTATTTCTATTGTAAAAAATAATAAACTGTCAAAAATACTAAAAAAAGTATTATAAAAGTACTATTAGGATAAAAAATGTTTAAGTGAGGCTCCCATACAACAGACATGAGTTTTTTGTCGTTTAAAGAGAATGTTACAGAACGCTTCGTGCGCGAATCCTACTCGCACTTGACCGGTTTTAAAGGTTTCAACGCTTCAGCAAGCGTTCGGGTGTTGTAGATGTCCATTGAATTGACAGAATTGAGGAAATTAAACTGACAGAATTTATTGATTTGATTTTTTTTAATTTCGGATTCAGAGCAGCAAAGAAAGTTTTAGCTTTTTCTGTAACTTTTTCAGTTATAAAGTTATTTAAAATTAAATTCCGATATAAAATATCAATACACGAATATAACATGAATTTGCTATTCGCGAACACGAAATGAGTCATGCGCCGCATTTACCTCAAACAAACACACCTGGAAAGGCCCAGACATCCAAACATCATCATCGGTGCCGATGCGATCTATAAATTCGATATACTTTGATTTACGGCGACGTCTGTATCTCGCAGTCGACTAACCCACTTGCTGAATCGACAAATAAATCATCCCGAAACAGTGTAAGGCCGTGTATATACGGCCGCTGAAGGATACTGAAAATCCTGACAAACACTATATTACATAACACTGAAAGAATTTACGAGTTGGAAAAAAAACTCAACAAACTTTACACTGGTGCATATGATTGAAATGAATGAATGTACACGTTTTCGTCTGAATATACAATATGACTGAAGGTACTAAAAAGTCTAGATGACTCCGTGGGCAAATGGCAAGGTATTGGCTTCGGCGCCGAGGGTCGAGGGTTCGATTCCCACACTAGAGAACTATTTGTGCGATCCACAGATAATTGTTTCGGATCTTTTGTCTCCGTAAATAATAATAATTTATGTGTGTCAAACATCCTTACAGAATAAGATAGTGTTATCCAACGCCTTCTCCTGATGTTCACTCATGTTGCCGAGGCACGTTTCTATACATGCATTAATCTGTCTTTCAAACTTTACTTTTGACAATGGTTTTGTCATTACGTCAGCTAACTGAATTTCTGTGGGACAGTAGCTTATATTTATTAGTCCATGCATGAAGTGTTCATGTATAAAATGGTTCCGCACGTCTATGTGCTTCGACCTTTTGTTGAAGGATCCAGACTTCACAAGTTGAATCGAACTTTGATTATAAACATGCAAATTTATTTCTATGTCCAAACCGGTTATTAAGTGTAATAGAGATGTGAGATACAATGTCTCCTTGCAACAGTCTGCTGCGGCTATGTACTCGGCTTCAGTCGACGATAGCGCTACTATAGGCTGCCTCTTGGATGACCATGATATTGGTCCGCCGAAGCTGTCATCCGCCGAAGCTGTCAAAGCCGCCGGGCTAACAGCAAACTACACGTCACAAAAAAAAAAATATTGGTCCATAGGCTATCATTAGCACGGAGCCAGAAGTGCTTCTTCGCGTCAATGGGTCTACAGCATAATCCGAGTCGCTGTAAGCATTGATATTCTCTATCGGTTTGTTTCGTTTGAACAAAATCAAAACCTTTCTCTTTGGTTCCCACCAAATATTTGAATATTTTCTTGAATATATTCTAGTGGGGTTTTCGACCTTCCTGCTAACTAGATTGACCGCTTGTGCGATATCTGGTCTGGTTCTGGTAGACAGGTACAGTAAACATCCAAAACGTAAAGGCAATGCTTTTACTAAAAAAATAAAAATTATATACACTAACGTCGAGATGCCGTGTCGCCTCACAATAAATTTCAATTTTATGACACTGTTTTGTATTCTTTGTATTCTTGTGTATGTAAAGACACTGTTTTACTCTCACGTAAACTGTATTTGTGTGTATTATATAGGAAAATTTAGTGGTAACAATTTACCATTGGAATGGCAAAATTTTTGCTTACATTTTTCAATAATGTACAAAGGAAAATAAAATGCATCATACAGTACAACAAAAAGGTATATTGAATTAAAATAAAAGTTTCTCTTTCAATTTTATAACAAATATGCTGAAGAAATGTTAAAAAAAACCCATGTCCTTATATTTGGTTCCAATCAATATTCATTTTTTAATCCTTGTTCCCTGTGAAAATTATTTCACTTCATAAAAATAATAATAACAACATTAAATTAAAACTAAATATATTTAAATTATGAGAATAATTATCTTTAGGTATTTTATAACATCAATAATGTTGGGGAAAGAAAATCAATTATACTGACAACACTGGTAAGAGATGGCGTATGCGACATTGATGGAAGAATGTTTTATTAAGCTGAATTGTTATGAATTACATAAAGTAGAATCTAAATACTTTCTCCTGGAAAAATGTGTTTCTTGCCTTTTATTTTTTGTTTGTGAGTAATTTTTTTAAGATAAGAATAAAGTGATATTTCACTGCACATAACGACATTTTTTTTCGGAACCAAATAATGTATTTATTATATGGTGCGCTAAACGTACCATAGAATAAATACTGCAAGTACATGTATTTCCATGCATCTGAACTTTCGATACGTTGATACCATTGTTTGTTTGTTGATACCATGTTATATTGAGATACAAAAGTCAAATCGAATTTTATTGTAGTTTCGGAGGAGGTTGTCTTCGTCACACGTGTAACGTTTTCCAGTATTGTTCAAGTATGCGACAGAGATAACGCTTTACAAAGCCGAATGTGTCGATTATCTCTTTCCACAGGTCGTTGTGTAATATTTATTGCAGAGTATTCCTCAGCTTATGCTTCTCAAAGACGCCAGCTCGACCGGAAATACCAAAGCCTCATAGAAGAGTAACAGCCTATACATATCCCACTGCTGGGCAAAGGCCTCCTCTGTACAGAGGGTATTAGGGCATAGTCCACCACGCGGCTACACGGCGGATTGGCGGACTTTACATATCTTCGAAAAATTTCCTCACGATGTTTTGCTTCATTGCTGAGCATGTGATAAGGCAGCAATTTCCAATTACCCGAAGCTCAGCCTAGCAGTTCTTGGTATCTGACGTGCAACATATAAAGGTGTTGCAGGTGACTTTTGTTAACGAGCCACACTTACCATCAGGTGAACCGCTTGCTCGTTTGCTATCCCTTTAAAATATAAAGAAAACCTATTAGAAAATCTAAGGTTTACCTAACTCGTAGAACAAGCATTAAAGCTCACGCACATCATGTTCTCGTCTTTTTATTTATAAATATAATACATTTATACATATACGTGTATTCAAGAGTAATATTTAACGTACATTAAACAGGTTCAAACACAAGTGGTATCGGATTGTTTTAAAAATTTAGCAATTTCTTATTAAATAATAAATAAAATAATCATACGCAATTATGTCCGTAGTTTTATTTCGTCAGTGATGTTATATTGTTTTTACCATTTTTACAAATTTTGTTTAAACTTGTTTATACTTTGTTAACTAGCTGTCATTCATAATTCATGATTATTAACATAATATTTATTTAATTAAACTAAAAATTATTCTGCACGAAGTACTAATTAAGTTAAGATCACTCAAAACGTCATACGGGAATGTTAGAGTTTCTTTTATATTAAACTCCAGAGCATGAGTCGTTGACGCCGCTTCATTAAAATACTGTGCAAAGCCAACACGGAACGATGACCAAAATAGCGCTAGTCCATGATGCTTATTTAATATTTTTAAGCTGCACTGTAACAATACAGATGCTCGACACTATAAATTTATTGTGTCTGAAATGGCGAAATTTTATTTTATGTTGCATACCATTCTATTTTAAAAATAAGGATACATATAGACTGATGATTATTAAGGTAATTTTTCATCAACTGTATGTACCGCCCGCCACCATCAAGAACATTTCACAATAATTTTATAATAATAAATAATTAGAAAGTCAATGAAATTTAAATGCATGTCATATTATCTATATCTTTTACCCTTTTTGATTGGTATTTTCATAAAACTAATAATTTTAACGTAAACTAATTAAAAAGTATTGGACCCTCAGATGTAGGTTTCCAAATGTATTTTGAACGTGTCGTTAGTGAAAGGCAATCATTTTTATTGTGTAAACAATTTTTGTAGAAAGCCGACCTGCTAAATGAAACAAAAAATAATAATTGCTATCTAACAGAGACGAATATGCGTTATTAGATTTAGGTGAAGTATTAAACGCGTTATCGATAGCACGCGCGCTCCGCTAAACAAATCACAATCGCATCTCCGAACAATGGCGCCGAGATGAGAGGGGTGCGCGCCCCAGCTGCGTGCCACAATCGATCTGTGCCCCGCACTAACTTCACTCTGTGCTCACTCGCTGTCAACCGCCGAGCGGAACGTCCCGCGTCTTCTCGCGAGCCACCTTGTAATGCGCTAGCCCCGACATGGAGGGGCGGAGGACCTGGGATGGCGTGCCCCTGGGAGAGTCCCACTCGCCGCCGCAGTCGGTCCCTGGTCGGAGGACGCCGCTCGGCGCCGTCGGCCTCGGCGGCTTCTACATGCAGGGCGGCCAGCCTCCGCCGCCTCCACAGCACTGCTACCCAACCGACGAGAACCAACCGGAGCCCGGGACCAGCTACTCCCAGAGGTCAGTGAACCTAATGTACGTCACTTGAAGTGTTCTTTTGATTCTGAATGTGAGCTTGATGCGTGTTCTATTGATGTTATTTAACATTCGAGATAAACATGTTTTTCCGATATCTTCAGCGTGCATGAATTTTCAGTATGCGTGTCTCCCAACTTGTGGGATAAATTCTAATAATTTATAACATATTTCGGACGTAAACATGTCTGTGTACTAACATAATATGCACCAAAAGATGCGGTTCCAATAACAATAGATGTATTTATTTTCATCTGTGAATGAAAGTTATAAAAAAACATTTTGGTTTGCATGCTTATTACAAAAGTACCGTTTTCAATATTTATATGTATTTTGTTTATAGTATAATATTCTACACGTTAACAGTTTTGGTCATATAGTAAATAAAATGTTAAAATTATGTAATACAAATTTGAATGCTTTCATGAACTCGATATATGTATACCATAGATACTTTCACCCTCTATATATTTTTACTGTAAACTGTAAAATTTCATCTATTTTAAAATTTGCATAAAATCTAATGCACTTTCAACGCAACATCTGTGCAGAATACACCAACCAGCTTTGCACCCTATATTCATGCGTATTTTACTTGCAATGACCATGATTTCCATTGATCACTACGATTTCCACAGACCTATGTTATGCGTAGACATGACAACGTTTTAGCACTTTTTTAATACCGCTTAAACATGCCCACTTTTATATACCATCATAAGCATTTTTACTAATAATGAAAGTGTCAAAGTGCATTTACTGAAAAGTTTTCAACATTTTTATCCTCTTAAAAAGAGAAAGCTATTATACGCGTTGAATATACCAAAAAGCCAAAAAGCTCTATTTTGTTAATTGTTATTGAACAAAAATATATACATGAGCATAGTGAATTATTGTGTCAAGATTTTAACCGTTTAATTACAACATTACAGTGGCACGTTAGCGAATCTTATAAAAATTGCTAGTAAAATGAACCTAACGCAAAAGAACACTGTCAACACAGTGATCAGAATATTAAATATGATCGTTTAAATAAAAGAGAAAATATTCGACATGATAATAAATATTTCCGATGAAATAAAGTGAGCTGTCTAGTCGATTCCGTAGTCGTATGACTCCCTCTCGCTCGTTAGCGTCCGACGAACAAAGCCCGTCCATCGTAGTCATCGGGGAGTTACGGCACTTGTTCCGCCTCGCGGAGCCGCGGTCCCTTGTCTAACTTAACTGTGAGGGTACCATTATGAACTTACCCTATATTCGATGATTGCTTTTATTACACGAGAGAAATGTGTCTGGTCCGATCACAGTTTCGGAACGAAAGTAATATATTACGATAAAATTATTTGGGCGTATTATAACGTTAATAAATTAAAGTTTTTGGCAGATTTTATTCATGACTCAAAAGCATGAGGTTCAAGCGTTGAATCTACATAAATCTATATTTCCACACGTTTGGAAGTACTTTAGGAGTCTACTTGACAAAAATCTTTAATAAAGTCGCATGGTCTAGTCCAATATCAGCACTTCTTTGCAAAATAATATACCTGATTAGATAAAAGAAAAATCTGTCTACGAAGAGTGATTACATTTAACAATGTGCAAATACTGGGCAATTCAAAGTTTACGGCTTTTTTTTTTAAATAATTTAAGATTGAAAAAAGAGGCCTGCGTAGACCCCCGTAGTAGCTTAATTATTTATAGTGACATTGAATCAGTAACAAATGTTTTAATAAAACTGTTTTTTTGCACAGTCTGCATTGCTAAATCAGTAATCTTTATTATTTCAGACCGATTGGAGATGGCAAGGGAAAGCAGAAAATGCGTCAAGGGAAATCGGTCAGACTCAACATCAATGCGAGAGAACGAAGAAGAATGCACGATTTGGTAAGAATTAATTATATCGTTTGCTAATATAGCGAATGAGAAAGAGACCATTTGTTTTAAATAGTAAACGATAATCAATTTATGAAAGTATACCAGTTTTGCCACTCCTTTGATATCTAAAATTAGCTCAAGGCAGATTTAAATAAGCGAAAACATTCTTAAATTTGAAGTAGCTTACAATTTTGTCTTTATTGTTTATACTTATAATATATTTTATTGTTTATATGTTTTACGTTTATATCCATATTGTTTTAACGATTAAGAATTACTAAAGTCCTATAATGCAGAGCCGATCGTGTCTACATATTCTGTTAATATAACCAGATACCTTACCAGTTCCAAATGCTGTAGTAATGGTTTAGAAAATTGAAATGCAGAACAGTTTTTATTTGGTGAATTTTCTTATGAGATAGAGCAAACTAGCGGGAGATTCACCTATCAGTATATGTTTACACCCAAGGGTACCTGCTGTTGCGTTAACAAACTTTAAAAGGGAACCAACAACTCAGATCCCACGTAGGCTGGAGCTGGGATACTTTACTCGCCAAAGGAAATGCGAAAGTATAAATAAAGCTATTTTATTAAGCTGATCATTCATGAGTTTCACTAGCCAGATTCCATTCATTCTGTATTTGGTTATTTGACTCTATCACAGTACTTTTTAATAGAAGCTTAGTATTATGCGTATAATGTTCCCGTCATCACGGACTAACGTTTTGGAGGAAATCACATCTTAGCCTGTCTTCTGACCACAGACCTTGTAAAAGGTCGTTCAAACACGTCGGTTCATCATCCAAAATTTAAGGAGAAAAATGTGTTAATTCTAAGTATGACTTTATCATCGTGTCATATAAATCCTTTTAAGTTCACTGTTGAACACAATCACCACAGAGCACGGTACTGAACTATCATCATTTATCCAATGACATTCCGCATCTAGGCTCATAGTTCCTACAGGTTTCATAGGAGGCTGCTTAATGCTTATATGTTTGTGTGTTTTCAGAACGATGCCTTAGATGAACTACGCGGTGTCATCCCTTACGCTCACTCGCCGTCCGTTCGAAAACTGTCCAAAATTGCAACGCTGTTGCTCGCCAAAAATTATATACTAATGCAAGCTAGTGCTCTTGAAGAATTACGCAGGTGAGCCTTTACAATTATAAAAAAAAGTTCCATCAAATTTCATTAGCTAAATGTATTTTTCACAAAGCCATACAAATAGAGAACGTATTTTATATTGCTTCTTTAAGGAAAACAATTTTATTGGTCAAACACCAAATCCCACACACTCACATCACAGCAAATCCCAAATACAATATCTTGATTCCGCCCTACGAATTTTTAATATTTTTTTGTAATAAAAAAGTGTAATATTACGAATTACTTGATAGTGAATGAAAATTCAACTCATGTACTACCGGTAAACTCAAATAGCTGACGAAACGCAAATGTATAAAACCCTCTGCTTTAAGCGGCACTCGGTACATTGACTTATGAAGGAATAAAAATCAACATCAACAAAATTTTGTTCCAAGCTATTTACAATATATAAATAGATTTTAGTTCATATGCTGGCTTTCATGGTATTGTTATCGCAGTAGTTTCGTTGATATAAAGCAATTAATAAACGATGAATCCATGGCGCAGTTGATAAAGTATTGGCTTCGGCGTCGGGGTTCGTGGGTTTGATCTCCACACGGGACAACTATTTGTGTGACCCACAGATAGTTGTTTCGGATCTGGGTGTTTGTCCGCGTGTAATTTATGTTTGTAAAACGTCCTTACAACACAGGATAATGTTATCCTAAAGTAAGGGCAATGTTTTTAGAAAAAAAAAAAATTTTTTTTTCTAGGCTAGTAGCATACCTACAAAGCACCGCTTCGGCGGCGGGCATTGTACCACCACCAGGGTTCGACCTGACTGGTTTCCCAGCTGCTGCAAAATTACTTCAACCTCCTGCGCCAGGGCCACCCGCCCCTCCAGAGCCGCCATCTTGAGAACCAGTCGTCAAATTAGAACCATTACCATAATATAATTATTACGTATATAAATATTTATACAGACATTATTCAAAGTTATATTATTTTCTTTTAATTACACATTTAGGGGTGTGACTGTGGGGTGTTTTGCAAGTGGATATTGTCAAGTGTTTAATTTATAGTTATAGTTTCTAAAATTAAGTTTTAATTACAATCCTAAAGAATAATTATAATTTGAACGATACATAGTATTATATACAATTTGTATTGAAGACTTAAAGCCATTTTTGCTCTTAAGTATTTTAATAAATATAACGGTCAATGTGACATATAGTATTGAAATTATAGTATTTTGTTTCTATTATAGTACTAGTAAAAACAAAAGTAACTTTAACTTCAACAGTACAAGAAATATTTATATACTTATGTGTAAAACAAATACACAACTTCATAAAAATGTCATCTATATTAAACTTGTTAATTTTTTATATTATTTAAAAAATTACTTAAGGATCAATCAAATAAAAAGTGCTTCTACAGCTGATATGATCAAACCACGTAAAGCGGCTTTCATGATTCAATATTTTGTTTTTTTTTTATACATATACAAAATAACAAATTGATAACGATATATAACACTAAATTGATAACGTAGACAACATGATATAATTTAAGAATAGCATAATTGTAGAAATTAAGTACTTTAGTAATTAGTTAGTACTGTAAGGTAAGCGAAAATCGTGATTTCCTTAGGTGAAAATTCGTCATAATTGAGAGGGGATTTTATTAAAGTTATTAACAATTATAAGTAAGTATTTCAGAAAATAATAGTCATCACATCAATCCACACAACAAATACAACTTTATATTTATACAGATTTTGCGGCTGTAATTAATAATTATGTAAAGAAATCTCTCAGCAAATGAGCGCAATATTATATTTTGTTCTTAGCGTTTTAAGTCATTTTTTTAAATTAACAGACAGAGAAAAATGTATATCAGTATTGTAAAAGTATTTACTTAAAACTCTACTTACTGTCTCAATGTGTAATTGTAAAACGATCCCGTCTTAATAACTAACTTAGACTTAAGTATTTTAACTATATATTTAATATTTATGTTGGTATGTATGTACCGGGGTCCATCCTTTACCCTTGAATGAAGAGGAGAAGTGAACTCATGTGCCAAATAAAGTAGTGTTATCTTAAATAATAAGAAATGAATAGTGAATATGTAGGAAGCGTGTATATTAAAAAGATTTGTTATTCGAGTGAGTGTCAATTAGCATATATGTAATATAAAGCCATGTGGTAGACATAATCTACATTTGCTCATATTATCTGTGTTACAAATTCGTCTAAACATTTGTTTTATTTCTATACGTAAACTTTTAAAATAACTTCATATTTTTAAGGCTTTTTCTATTCGTTATCTTTTTGACATTTACTAACATTAGTATAGTCTGCTTGAAGGCATTGCCTTATACTCCTTAAAAGTTTTACTGTAGCGATGATTTCAGCAAAGGATCAATGTCAATTCATGGCATACATTGTCAACCCACTTTTTTAAACTTAAAGCCATGCCACTTATTGCCATGGATGAGTATTTCAGTATGTTGAAAATATTTTCAAATTTTCATTTTCTTAGCATTCTACGTTTTGCACCAGTTGTTGAGAATGTTGTAATTGATTTTAAGAATTGTTTTAGATGCGAAATTTTAATTTAATTTTTTTTTAAATTATTAATTTTAAATTTTAGTTTGATTTAAACAATGAATTCAGTTAAATCGCGTTACAAAACTATTGCATAAGTTAAAACTTTACTATAATAATGATTACTTTACTATACATATATAGGTAAGCATTTGTGGTAAGAAAATGAGTAATAAATTGAAATACTAATAAAATATCGGAAAAGGTGTTTTTCGGGTACATTACAATTCTGAATTTTGTGTATACTACAAAATGTATGTATGTACATATATTCAAACGATTACACGTACCGTGGTAAGTAATTTATGTACTATTGTTAGGTGATTTTATAAGCCAAAGTTAATTGTGATTGTTTCTAGAATAGTTTTAAAATTAAGCATATAACTTATCTATATTGTGAAGTCTGAAATAAAAGCGTGACGTGAAATACGTACGAAGCATTTTTCATTCGTTATAATTTGGACTTTAACCAGTAAGTTATCCATAGCCCACAAATACGCAGTTCTGTTAGCAACGGATAGAATAGGAATTCAGCACTCACCACTAAGACCATCAATATATGCATGCTCTTTAATTTTTCTTAATTGATATGTGCCTTATAAATTCACGGACACAAAGTACACCCAAACTCTGAATAATATTTTATTGAGCACGAAAATTCTTGTCCCGTGTGAGGACAGAATCTATATTACGATGACAATAACAGGTGGCAATATATACCCCCTAGGCACATGAAATTACCTAGTGTCTCTAGCATTGACTGGCTGACAGACAACACACAACTTACACACTGTTGATCTAGTTTTTCACAAGTTTTATAATAAGACAGTATTTTATAATATCATCCCGCATTATATATAAACTCCAATATTGTAATTCCTCCCGACTTCCAAGTGGTCCTTAACAAAACACTAGTATAATAACTGTGTAATTCTTGTCTAATTACATTATGCTAAGTGAACGATACGACCTGGTATAGAAACTTTATTAACATGATAATTTCTTTATCGGAGGAAGTCACGTTATTAGGTTTATTTAAGTAATCTTTCCCCAAACTTAAGGAGCGTCGTACAAACGTTATTATGAATAAATTAACTGCTATTACGAACGATAAATTTCGAACCAAGACTGTAGGTAACTATATATATACATTATTATCATATTATATGTATACTAGCGATCCCGGCAGACGTTTTCATGTATCCACGACTTAAGTATCTTGTATCTTGTTTTTGCTTTCAGTCCCGAGACTATTAAAGCTTCATCTGACACAGAACCAGTGGGCTAGCTAGAACCCACGGGTTTGAGCCCTCCGCTCTGAGTAGGGCCTCGCATGTGCTCATGCGTGCGTTTAACTATGGTATGTCATCTAAGGGCCATCGAGGTTGCGGTTCGAACCGGAACCCCGATGGCCGTCGATTGTGTTATTAGCTAATCGGTGGCTGAGGGCGGTGAGAACCGAGGGCAAACTATTGTGTTTGTTATTTATTACACTAGCTGTGGGTGTAGTGTTATCCGGCGGGACCCCCGACGGTGGGTCCGGCGTATCTAAGTCCCCTTCCTCGACCGGGTCGATGAGGATGTTTCGCTAGCGACGCTTGTTGATGTTCGCGTTTGTGTCGGGTTGGTAATTTGCTGCCCTTACCACCAGAGGGTTGGGATGATTTTCGGCTCTATCAAAGAACCGTTTTGTCGGGTCTTTAAAATATTCGCGAAACGTCGGGAGTCTGCAATCGTTGTGCAGGTCGACGTTGCGTTGATACCACTGCGCACCGGTTGCGCGGCGGATGAATTTATATTGTACTATTTGCAGCTTGTACAAGCGAGTAGGATGCGTGTGGGCGAAAATAATGCATGCGTAGGACATAATAGGTCGTACGCAGGTCTTATACAGCGTGCCGTTACAACGGCGACAATAAATGAACACACGTCTAACGCTACTTGCCAATAATCATAAAGCCTCTCCTTCTAACAGTATGTTTTGTCTTTTAAATTCATTCAACCCATTCATATGCTTTGTGACCTTTACAAATCAACTTTACGTTACAGTTTTATACTTAAGGATGTTCTAAAATTCTTTGTTTTGGAAAATTTAATAACTCGGTAAATATTGATGTTTAAAGAATGTAAATTTTTAATACAATTTTAAAAAGTTATCCTCTATATGTGTGTTCATTTATTGTCGCGGTTGTAAAGACACGCTGTATATTAATAATTTGTGCCTTAAGGGCATTTTACTTTTAGCGTTATTTATTTAATTGTGTAGCCGGCCGAAGACGAACGCGGCTCTTACGAACGTTATTAATGTGCGTAGTAAATGACATACGCGAGTCGAAAGTGACTCCTAAGTATTTGACCTTTCGAGAGAATCCCCCCCCTCCCCAAATATTTATTTTTATTTATTTTTCAGGCTCCAGTAAGGGATATTTGCCCCAACTTTTGACTTAAGTACAACAAGTCATGAATCAAAAATTAAAAAAAAAAAAAAAATTCTAGTGGTCCGAATTATGAATCTACCTTTCTCGAATCAAATCAAAAATCAAATTAAAAAATATATTTATTCACATAGAGGCTTGCGCGTTTTTATGAAATGTCAAAAATTTTACATAAAAATTAATACGTTCGTAAGTTACCACCTATGGACATGAAGAAACCTAAAATTTCATTACAATCGGTCCAACCGTTTAGGACATAAGGAGTTCAGTGACGTACTCACAGACTCAGCAACATGCACAGTAGAATAATGTATAAAAATAAATTTTAACTTTTATAATGCTAATCTCTGCACTTAAGATTAAACATTAAAATTTGTAGAAAAAAGTACCTAACAAAAAGTTTCTCGCCGGCGCTGTGGGAATCATGGAAACGTGGGTTCGATTCCCGCAGCGGAGAAACTTTCGTTATTTTTTTCTACAATTTTTATTATGAATATAAAGATTAAATTAACCTATTTGACGTATTTTATTGCGTTTTAACTTAGATTTTTTCTTCCCGACGTTTCGAACCCTTTCCAGTGTTAATGCGGTCTGATCAGTTTCATTAGTATTTCATTTAGTATGTATAATATTCCAGTAAAAACAAGAAATCCATATGTATTTTTTGCTTTAACTCATTCTTATTAAATCTATATGTGTAAATAAATGAAATAAACACATAAGTTAATTAAAAATAACGAACCTGAAAATACTTAAAAATACCCCCTTTTCGGGACATTCTACGACCTGAGTCCAACGTAGTTGGAGCAGGCGGTTCTGCAACCCCCTCCGACCGGGTTCCCGCCTTGACGTGGCGAAGGGGCTTAGTAGCCGTGGCTGGGTCACCCACGGTGAAGCTAAGAGGAATCCACACTGGGCTCGCCTGTGGTGTAAGGCCGGCCCGAGAAGGCCGCGTGGCCGAGTGGGCTCATTGAGCCCACTCTGGATGCGTGCTGGAGGTTGCAGGGAATAGGTTGAGGATGGTGGAGGAGGAGTCATTCTCCCTGTCTTCTGCTACCGAGGAGAAGTCGCGGAGGAAGAGGAGTGCCGGTATTGCGTTTGGCCGCTCTCCCTATCCTCCGCGACTTGGCAGGGCTGCACCGCTGATGCAGTGGTGGTGGGGCCGCGGGGGGAGAGGAGTGTTGGTATTGCGATGCACCCTTCTCCCTACCATCCGCGGCTGGAACGTGGTGAGCGGGGGAGCCATCCCAGGGACTGGGAGGATTTCTGCTTATTAGCAATGGCTCTCCTGGCTCCCATGGCGCCCATGTTCCAGCGCGCCTTACCTGGAGGAGAGGGTATATATTTAAAACTATCAGATATGTCTATATACTACTGTTGCTGCAAACATCATGTACATCCACACCTGCATTGAACTATCCCTACATTGCTTGCTGATTTTGGAATCGCCACATCACCTTGGTATAGGGCTTATGGCACCTACGTACGAGTGTTTGGTATACACTTAGTTTGTGGTTAAAACAAACGATATCGAGTGAGACCCGGAATTTGAAAAATACACGGTTTAAAAGTTAACAACACATCTACTGCAACCCACTAAAAAGGTTTTTTTTTTGTATTGTTCTATAATTTTAAAGTAATTATTATTTTTTTTGATTTTGGTCACTAATTTAGGGTTAAGGCAACTGACTTTTATTATGTCGATATAATCATTTTTAATTTATAGCCATATATAAGATTGGCATTTTTCGTTATATTACTATCTCCACAATGCAAAACAAATAATTAAAACAATTTTTTCCCCAGCACTACGTATTGGTGATAAATTCATGCTATAATATTTCTGTTGAGACTGACTGATATTTAAAGTAAATCTGTGATATAAATTATTAATGCTAATAGATATTTATAAGTAGGATCAATATGGTCTTCAAAAGTGTAAGCTTCATTTTACAACAAACGTATCAAAATATTATTGACATCTTACATTAGATGGCGTTGTGAATAAATATACTGCAGAACCGACCACACCCGCTTTATCCACATTAAACAACGATAACTTTGGTCGAAAAAGGCACTTTAAAAACGTTTGCCAATTTAAAACTATATTCTATATTACTATGTTTCCTCCAATTTCAATTCCAATTCACGAGATTTGAAAGTCAAAATTTCGTCAATAAGCAAAAACAAAACATTTTATACTAAATCCGTCTTTACTGTAACACTGGTGCCTTTTTACTTAATATACATAATATTATAATCATTTATTGAAATCAGTGAACGAATAAGACATACTTAATTCGTGTTTTATTCGTAAACTCATTGAAGCTAACTAAACTTAAGTCTTTTGTCTCGTGTGCCGAAAGTCTTAATAAATACAAAATATAAATTTTTAATTCATAGATAAAATCTATGTAAAAAATATATTTATAAGTGCAAAGTAATACGTGAAAGCAATCGAAAACGACATTACTTTCCAATTTAAGGACCTAGGTTTCGTATCGCCATCAGACCGGGAGCGCTCAAGCTCAAGTGATAATATACAGCTCAAGCTAAATAGTTGCCCCACAATATTTGGGGCAGCTTGATTTATGTTTGTGTGTATATTACGCTGTATATTCCGCTCTCCATTCTCTCTGCTCGAGGCTAAGCTTGCAGGCACATTGTTTTACGGCCACGCAGCAGCCTCGGCTGTTGCACGAATAGGCAGGCCCGTCCGGGTAAGTACCACGAACTCACAGAAGACCAGCGTAAAGTGAAAGCATGACAAATACTTTCGCGTTTCGTCTGGTGAGTGAGGTAGCCGGAGCCCAATTTTCAAAAGGTTGTCAACGCATCTGTAACCCTTGGGTGTGGCAGATGTCCATGGGCGGCGGTATTCACTTAACATCAAACCGTCTGCTCGTTTGACAACTTTTCGCCCAAAAAAACACAACAGCAACTCTCTACGTCGATTTGTGCAATATTAGGGGACTTGTGGTCACTTTAAGACTTCCACGTCGCGGAATTCGTGTGGCATTGCCACTGAAATAGTTCTAAATGAACATAAACAAATAGCAGACAAACACTAATTTCTCAAAACAAAGGTGATTTCTGATACAACTACTTAATTTCAGTAACTACATTCTTGCTACATTTACTGGGGACCACGCAACGATCTTCGCTGTTACAGGATTGGACAGGTCCATCCGGGGAAGTACCACGACCTCACAGACGACCGGAACTAAGGAAATCTACGAAAAAGTTTCGAGATTTATAAGACCCATATCGTCCCCTGTCATCACCCATCTTAGTGTACATAAATTATCCCCCCCTTTATGCCAGTGAGCTATGTGATGTTGTACTGTTTGCTGACGACACATCGCTCATTTTTAAGGTTGACCGAAATGTATCGAATTGTGATGACGTGAATAGTGCACTTTCGCGTATCCTCCACTGGTTTACCATTAATAATATGGTGTTAATAATTTCTAAAAGTAACTGTCCATATAGATTTATACTCGATTTGAAAGCACTGAATAACTTTATACTACAAAATAGTACATAAAAATGGTCGATATGTTTATACTCGTGCACAAATCCTATAGGAAGTATTTTATTTATTTATTTAAAAATGTTTTGCAAATAAAACGTACAATTCCATACTTAACACCATTAGGTGTTCTCTACCAGTCAACCGAAAATAAGTATCTCTTTGCGTCTCGAATGAATAAAAAGTGAACAAATTTTGTATCATGAAAACGAGATCCAAATGCCTTCAATATACATTTACTGCATTTACTCGGAGACATGAAAATTTTATTAATATATTATTATATTCTATGTTTTCCCTCCTTTTACAATAAAAATACTTAGGAAAAATTATTAACTAAGAGGCGACCGGTATAACGGTAGTAACCTTAATGACCGAGTCAGCCTTGATTCCTGCTATACATGTTTCTTACTAGATCCAAAGTATTTTACTTTGGGCCAAACAAAAACATGTTATTCTCTCTTTCCAGAACGGGCATCCTTTATGGCCCAGCCTTATCAAGGAGTACACAACGTTATCCGGGAAGCGTTCATTCTACAATAATTTGGTAATGAGACCGTTGATATTACTATGTATTTTGTTGATATTACTATTGATCCAATCACTATCCAATATTCAACAGTATACGGCATACAAATTTTGGTTTGCATTTGTCAATTTTATATACAGGATAGCGACTTTGTTTTATATTATGTAGGGAAGAACAGCCGGACGGTTGCCCAGCAAAAGCTCCATCGGCTTACATAAATAAGAAGAAAGAATTTTGGATAGAATTTTTTTTATAACTGTTAAAAAACCCATCCGAATAGCAAGTTCCCAAACGAAAAGCCATTGGGTTAAACAAGTATACCTTAAGAATATGGGTGTTGATATAAACATACATTTAGCACATATCACGCGACAAGCGTCCACATCGGCAGCGAACCGCGCTGTTGTGTCTCTAGACGTGATAAAACGCGCGGCCCGATGGACCGGCTCCTCCTTCTGCCTTGCAAAATTTCTATAACTTACCTTTACCAGACTTTCAAAGAGATAAAACTTTCACTGACGATTTCGATGTAGACATGTAGATCATAGTACAGACGTATGGTTATACATAATGAATAAGGTGATTTTCTGGTATATGTCCTATAGAGAATAATTGTAATATACTGGATTATTTTCATGATCCGTTGTTTGTATCATTCTGCAATTGAGCGCTAAACATCTACATGGTTTATTAAAATCTCCTAGGATGCAGCAACGAAGTATAATTTATGGTTAATTGAACTTACCTTAAGTGAACTTCAACCATAATTATACTAGTTGCTGCATCCGTAGAGATTTAAGAACCCACCCTTCCCTGAACAAAATTCCCCTAATAATTGCAGACTGAAGTAGGTATTGCTGTATGTATGTGTGCTCTAAAACGAATGAGCACTCGGCCAGTCATGGGAGCCAACATTGTCTATGTTAGTCAACGGATATATTGTTTTTTCATTTCTTTTTTATTTATTTTTATAAAATATTCTAAAATTCGTGTGATGATGCAGTACAACAGAGAACGGACTACATGGTTTATTAAATCTCCTAGGATGCAGCAACTAGTATAATTATGGTTGAAGTTCACTTAAGTTCAATTAACCATAAAAAATAAGGACAAACTAACTACGCCATTGTTTCGCCTACAAAAAGTAAACAGGTCGTTCATGGGGCAAAGTGTGCGCATGTATAATAAAATCCCAATCAATATATTGCCAATATATACAATACATAATATCAATATTGCCGAATATCTTGACGACGCCAATGTATGGGGTTAATACTGTTGATACTCACGTAGGCTAAAACAAGACTATTATACCTGTACTATTATATTGTAAACTGACCTTTTAAAAAAGTGCAACTGTTGAGTTTCTTGCCGGTTTCTTTTCAACAAAAACTACTTTCCGATGTTAACTTACGAACGTGTTAATTTTTTTGTAAAATTTTGACGTTTCATAAGAACGTGCAAGCGTCTATGTGAATAAAGATATTTTATTATTATTATATATGATAGCCGCGATACGAAAGTCGCTATGTGGTCTTTCTGTTATTGCCACAACGCGTCGTGAGCGTTTTCACAAATGTCGCGATGAATCGCGAATGTTTGAGATGAATCTGGATGTTTGAGAGTAACCAAAAAGCGCTCTGATCTGTACTCAATGCGCAATTCCAGTTAGGCTTTGGCGGAGCAGCGTTCGTGCCGTTCGTTACTTCTGCAGTGGGTATTATTTTTATTATCTAGAAAAATTTCTAATTCACATTTCCTATTATAACATTTATTCATTATTTTTCGGTTCTGTGGTAATGGTAGAGATCAGGCAATTTGTTTGGCAGTTTTGGAAAAGTGTTATTCTAAACTAAACATTATTGTGATATACTGAACCTAAATCAGCTCTTTTGAATTTAGCACAAGGACGAATAGAAGAATCTATCTGTAGAAAGGCCCATAAACATTATTTTTTTTATCGGAAAACTAATACAATGAAGCTAACATTTTAGTTATGAAGTTATTTTAGTTATTGAATCCAACATAAAATGAGAGGGTAAGAAATTCTAAGGCAGAAATCTTGGCATTGAACCCGCAACCCGCAACCCTATATCGCAAAACTGACGTCTCCTCCACTTACATACCGCCTCTGACATATTACGTATATTTGTGTGTACGTGTCCGTCCAAAGTACGGTAACAATCTAATTCGTAACGTTTTAGTGCATTCCATATAAACAAGACACAACATCCATGTCATGGTATGGTTTTATCAAATATAAATCACACCTTTTTTAATTTTCCAAAATTGGCAATTTCTTTATAAAGCCAATATTAAAGCTTTAATCGTGAGTAAGCATAATTATTTCTTATTCATACTCTTTCGCGAAATGAATACCGTAATTGCAAAGTTTATGTCTGTGCTTGTAGTCTTATATTAAGATTTTAAGGTAGAAAACTACTACTTTTCTAAAGTGAAATTCACCGCGAGGAAATTGCAGCAACGCTGATGAATATAAGCGGGCTTGAGGCAATGTGGTGGCGTAGCACGAAATTTAATCTTCCCCCCGTCTGCCACCCACAGCAGAGCCCACCCTGCGCTCGCTACATTTACTAGAGCTACGTAGAGACCGAATACAAACGTACCTACACAATATTTTATTCATACTAATTTTCGTCTCTCGCTATCGCAACGGCCTGCACCCCGTTTTGTTTTTCAACCACGTCTCCATGAGAACGGTCATTATGTAGAAACTATGTGACCTGTACATAACGGATGCCTTGTGCCTAGGTACGAAAGGCTACGGCCGGCACTTGGGTGTCGCATGTATACTATTTCAGCAGCGTACGCTATACATGTACAATAACACGCAGTATGGTACATTTACATACATTCGGAATAGTACACCTGGATGAAAAAGGACATTGATTTGAAATATAAAAAAAAAACTTTCATTTCGCAACATAAATTTTATCATTTATATAGTTACTTAGATAAGTTTATAAATGATAAAAGGCTTATTGCTCGTCAAAATCGTAGGATTTTCTATATGATTAAAAAAAGCGCGAAAGTTTTATTTATCTTTATATTTAAACAAAAATTAAACTGAACTTTATATATAAAAGTCGTTTGTTTCTCATTTCTCCGCACACTCTACATAAGTACATGAAAGAGTGAGAAAGCTCTATGCTAGCGTCGCTTTCACTCTCCGTGAAAGCCTCATGAAAATATCTATTGATTATCGTATATATGACGGTTCGTACGTATAGGTTACTAGCCCGCCCTATATTATGTCGACTGCTTCCCTGTCGAGTGCCAATTTATTTGAAGAACTTTCCCACATTGTGAAGTGTGCTGACTACCCCATTAGTTGGTTCATAAAAGTTGCATAAATTGTAATATGGCAAGCGGTTATACACCTGAAAAAAGCCCAAACTGCGTAAATGATACCTCCTTCACAATCAGTAATCCACACGAATTTCATTAAGAGAAAACCTTAAATAGCTTACCTATTTTATTTGAATTTAAAGCAAATTAAATGTTAATAAAGTTAAATGTTAAACGACATTATATAAACGAAATATTATTTTCCTTAAAAGAAAAAAATAGTAAATTTAACTAAGGTTAGCCGTATAAACACAGAAGTTCTTTATTTTAATTATTGCATTATTTGGATATTATCATCATGTTTTGGGTATTGTGAAACTTTGCCATTACCTTCTTACACAAAAATAAAGGTAATCAGAAAGTTTTCTTACTATGAATATAAATTTTTTAAAATTATGTTTAACAATTATTACTTACATTTCTCAGAAAGATATTTAACATGATTTAAAAACTTTTTATGTAAGATGGCAAGCGAATAAATGGTGGTTGACCTGATGATATCTGATAAGCGCCACCCATGGATATTTTCAACACCCATATGATGCGTTTTATGGGTTTACCACACTCGCCAGACGAAACGTAGAGGCATAAATATTCTAATTCTAAAATGAATAAACAATAAACATAATTTTGCATTACGTTCTTCAACAACCTAAAACATTTCAGTAGTATTACAGCTACGTACAAAAAAAATTGTTACAAATTATAGAAAAAATATAGTGGTGGTTAATATGGTTAATTTAATATTGTAATATACTATAAAGAAATAATATACTATTTTTAAGTGTGAATATATACTTTTTCATTATAATTAAATCATAACTTGGTCTAGGGAAGTTTATCAATTAAACGTGGTAAAACTGTAATTGGCAAAAACGGAACGCGCTTGCGCGAGTCTAAACAGCGGGTGAACGCGGTGCGGTGCGGAGCGGAGGGTGGCAAGGCCGGGGTGAGGTGCGCAGAGCGAGGTAACGTCACGTCGAACAACGCAAATACTATCCTACTAAATTCGGTAGCGGCGTTGTTAAAGCTTTTGTTGCGCATTACAACGACCATCGTACAAAATAGCATAAACGTTGACTGCGTCGCCCAAGAGTCGTCCAACGCGATTACGAGAAGTGGTAACAGCGCGAACGGCGTAGCTGTTATTGGATTCTTTCTGTACAAGTAATACGCGGTTATTTTTACTTCATAAAACAATTTCAACGGAATTTTGTAAAACATATTAACAGAAGTGTTGATAGCTAGACGTTTATGACGGATCGGGACATTGAAGTCAAACGTTAATATACGATAGAAAATAAATAAATAGGGAGCAGTATACAACAGTTCGGCGTGCCGTGATAAAAAAGACTTTATCCCAAGCGGAATAAGTTATGTTGTCTCAATGTGCGTGACGTGATCAACGGCTGAGAAAATATGGATCATTGGACCAATGTTGGGTAAATGTTGGACGCTGATACGACCAATGCATTGTGTATTGTGATCACCAGTTTGCGCAGAAGTTTTCATATAATCATCATGGATTGGAGAATTCGGTGGCGCGCACATATGCGCCGGTGAAGTTCGTCGAGGCCACACACTTTTGAAACAGGTACCGGTTTTGAATAATCATTTTGTTTGATTTATAATGCTGTTTTGTTCAGGTCAGCGCGTACAGGTGTGTTGCATTCGGTTATTAAAACGTTTTCTTATACATTCAAACATTAAATTCAACATTTGTTTTAATTTCAGGGAAAGATATATTTTTTTTTTACATTTATATGTTTTGGGAATAATATTTAGTTACCCACGTTTAATTTTATTTCAGGTACAAGGGCAACATTTCTCAAATTGCAGATTCTGAACACAGAGTTGCACCTTGTAACCATGGCTGAAGAAAGACAAGAAGAGAACTTTCCTATTGTGAAGGATGAGAAGAGCAATGACAGTGATGTTAACAGCGAGGACCTCAGTTCCCATGATGAACAAAATAATATCAATAACTCTCAGTTTTATGAGAGTAGTGATAGCAAAATAGATTATGCTGTAAAAATAGATGACAATGATACATTAAGTGATATAGATGATATTAAAACAGATACGGCCTCAGCTGACAGTGAGGATTCTGCTCTTGGTAGCTTGCCACCAGACAGTGGAACAAATGATGGGGAAGAAGAAGTGCAGGATAGATCAGATGGTAGCGATTTAGGGCTTGGACCCGAAAGTAGTGACAATGCAGAGTTACCTAATTTTAACTTATCTCTGCCTTGTAACAGTGGCTTGAATAACTCAAAAACTTTCAATTCTTACAATGAAGATTCTCAAACAACCAAAAATCTAAGTGGCTATAATTGCAATGATGAAACTGAAAAACCCCACAAGAGCAATCTGAAGAGAAAATATGAAGAAAACGAAGAAGACTCTTTCCAAGCTAAAAAAACAAAATCAAGTATACATTTTGATAATGTAACAGTTTTTTATTTTCCTAGAGCTCAAGGGTTCACATGTGTACCCTCACAAGGAGGCTCCACTTTAGGAATGGAATGGGAACATACACACTCACAGAAATTTACCTTAACCGAACATGCATTGGAACAAAGAAGGTTGCATAGACAAATTTTACAACAGATTAAAAATGAACGGCATAATTTACAAGGAGTTGCCCTTTCGTCAAGCGAGGAGAGTGACACAGAGGAAGAGACAAGTGATATTTCAGAATCTGAACTAGATCTCGACAGTTACTATTTCTTGCAGCCTGTACCGACTCGACAAAGACGAGCTCTCTTACGTGCTGCGGGTGTCAGAAAGATTGAAGCCTATGAAAAGGATGAATGCAGAGACATAAGAACATCTCGAGAATTTTGTGGCTGTGCTTGCAAGGGTACATGCAACCCAGAGAGTTGCTCATGCAGTTTAGCTGGTATAAAGTGCCAAGTTGACAGATTAAACTTTCCATGTGGGTGCACTAGAGATGGTTGCTGTAACCCCACAGGTAGAATAGAATTTAACCCCATTAGGGTAAGAACTCATTTTATTAACACTCTTATGAGATTAGGCCTTGAAAAGAAAAATGAGGAAAACCAAGAAGCTGCTAAAAGGACAGTGGGCAGAACTACACAGCGCAAGTAGCTCAAGTTGTCTAAATAACTCATATGAAAGGGAGCGTTGTCTCAGTCATGAAGATGGACTTTTGCGTGATGTCAATCTCACCCCAAGGGTGGAAGTGGAATCTTGTGTCAATTCTGGTAGTTTTAATAATGTGCATTGTGACATTAAGGCAAATATGAAAGATGATTCTACATTTGGGTACAGAAGCAATATTACGAATCATATGTGCCCAAATGACAACAGCATTGGCCATTTTAAAGATCAAAACAACCACCACCACACACCTTACACATCAAACATGCTACAAGGAAAAGGCCCACCTTACTCTACAACCACATCAATGGCATTTAATACTGTACCAAGTAATCTGCAAACTTTTCCATGTGATTTTAACTATGTTTATGAACAGCACACTGAAGCCCATCATTTTAAGAGTCTATCTAGTTTTTCTGCTTCCAGTTTTGAGGAGTTTGCTCACAGCTCTCAAATGTCCATGTACAACCATTACGGGCAACTATACATGCCTGACTACATGCATAAACCAAATATAAATATATCTGGGCACAACTCCATACCATACCAAGCAATGACGCACAATCATTATGAGAATTACAAAAATAATGTTGAATGTTTAAATATGGATGGCAAAAATGAGTCTCATTACACAACATTAATGACATCATATCAAAATAGCAATAAGCTGCCAGCAGCGGAGAATGATGAAAATTGGTTTAGCCACAATACTTTAATGAACCTGGACCAATGTGTTGATCACACTACCCAGGACAGTCAAGATATTCAGCCAACTCAGCAAGTGACTCCAGCAGAGGATGTATCATCAGATACCACAGAAAATTTTGGTGAATTGATAAAGAAAACCATGGTAGAGTCTGTTATTGTGTAGTGAATTACTTGTTGTATCTTAATCATTTCAATGAATTATCATGTTACTAAGTTTATAAATATATTAATTCTGAAATTGAAACATTTTTTGTGGCACATCCATATATAACCTTTGTTTTTTTATTAATAAAAACTTACTTATTAAGGTTTACTTATGAATAATTAATTTACCAAGTAATGGGGTACATTTTACATAATTATGTTAATGATTATATTTTTCATAGAAATCAATATTTAATTTAAAATATGCAATATAAAAATTATAAATTATTAGTTTATTTGTCTATTCCTCAGAGCTATTGATGTAAGGATGGGCATGTGAATATTAAGAACGGTGTAAATATTATGAACAATTTTGTTTTTATAAATAAGGATATTATTCTCTGCGTATACACTAACCTCATTACCATGTAGTGGTAGTATAGGTAATGAGTCTAGTGTAGATGCGGTGAAAAATATCGTTTTTTTTATACTTAAAGTTATAAGTTGTTATTAAAAAGTTCATTTTAGTATCTTAATTCCTTTCTTATCTTTTCCATAAAAATCCTTCATTTGTATGTAGTAATATTCCTTTTCCTGAGAAGATAGTAATTAATTATGCTATTTATGCTAAAATGCCGATCACACTAACATCCAACAATTGTTGGATGTTTTCGCGACTGGCAGGCGTGAAACTTACGGCTTAGCAAAATGCCTATTAATGTAATTAATTAAATGTTAGTTAATATTATGTTGTTTTGTTAATTATTTCAGCTATTTCTAATGAAAAGTAATTAAAACTAAATTATATTTATTTATCCTAACAAAATGTGAATACTCGTTTAATGTCTTTAAATAGAGGGATTTTTAGGCCTTTTTAAAAATTCAATTATAGGGCTATTTAAGGGTATTACATCTGGATTTTTGGACTTGATCCATTTTTTAAATTAATTCGCAGCACTGCTTATATAAATAAGATACATATATATAGATATGCAAATACGTATTTTACAAATAAACTCATCACCAGAAAATAGCGGAAGCTGGCGAGAACGTTTATTACCGATGCTGTCTGAAATGGCCAAGCTTTCTTAAACTTTACAAAAAGCATTTGTGATACTTTGAGCATAAATTAAGAATTTAAGATATAAACAAAATCCATCAAGCCAGGAATTTTCATTTAAGTAAATTAAGCCTGATTGTTTTTAAACATTCCCGATTATTTTCGCCGCTCTATTATCCATTATAGGTTTCAAATATTACCAAAGCACAAAAAGTTTGTTAGGTTCAAATCTAGTTTATTGAAATGAGACGAAATATTGGATGGAGCCTCACCAACAGACTGCCATGAAGCGCATTCCTAGGCCACCTGCGCCTGCCTACTTTCCTTATTAAAAAAAGCAAATTATTATGAAAATAATGTGTTTTTGTATATTATCAGTAGGTACATTAGATAGCGCGTGGCCATGTCAGAAAAGATTATAATTATTTATAGCAAAGAGCGCATAAATAAGCAAATAAGTTTGTAGGTACGTACTAAGTTACCTACTCTGTAATGCAGGCATGTCAAAATCTGCCGCTGCTTTTTTTCGAAACAAAGGTATTGTTGCATGTTTTGCGGAGGGTACCTATGTATATGTGCATATCTCCGCTTTGTCGCAAGGGAGTCATGACCCCTGTAGCCGCCTCTTCTCACGCTTTGCATCAACATTTTACGATCGTGATACTCCAAAAATATTAAACTTTAAAGATAACTTTGAGTACAAATATAGAATATTAACAGAGAACGTTGAAAATTACATTTTTTTAATAGTTTCATATTAATAAAGTTGTTAATTATCTTTTATTATTTACCGATTTGGATGCAACTTTCACTAATGCATTGTACTAAGCTTTACTTAACATTTAGTGTTAGTTTTATTTAAATCGGTTCATAAATAAAGAAATTATATCAACTTTAACAAGAATCACATTGAAGATCTGTGCGATAAATTTATATATAATAGCTACAGTTGAATTGGATGAAAGTATATTTAACTATATAATATTACGGTCTGTAAGATGATTATGATTGTAAGTTAATGTAAAGTTAAAAAAACCGCCAAGTACTAGTTGGAATATTATAAAACTGAAGTTTGTTTGAACTCGCTAATCCCAGGGACTACTGGTACGCAAATTCTTGCACTGTTAGATAGCCAATTTAATGAGGAAGGATATAGGCTACGTTTAATCACGATATAAAATATAGCACATGCGGGCAGAGCCGTGGGCGAAAAGCTAATATAACTATTTTAAAAGAATGCACAAACATCTATACGTATTTTCAAGTACTGAATTATAAGCCAAATTTTTCAAAACAAACATATTTAGTAAATTTTGGAATGGAGTTTTGTAAAATGTTTCTTAAAAGCCGTCGATTTAAGGTATTTTATAGTTTCAATTGCAGCATTAGTGAAACTGTACCATGCCTCACAGAAGACCGGCGTGAAGTAGAGTTGTTACACTTCTGCGTTTCGTCTGGTGTGTGTGGTAACCGGGGCCCACTTTTTTAAAGGTTCTCAAAGTATCGGCAACCCTTGAGATGTTCGTTGGTACTCTTAACTCACCATCGATTGAAAATCAAAGCTATCAAATTCGATTTAGCCGTTTCGGAGATTACCCTGCTATGCCAGCTAGGCAACTCGCCAAGACAAGGCGAGAGCGAGTGTCTATATGTAACTCTTGTCCCCTCTCACTCGGCTCGCGCCACTACCTCTCAGTTACGTGTAGGATTTTAGCGCTAGCTTTATTTTTAATAATTATAGTATCTAGCACGACAACAAAAACTAGTAGCTATATCTGGATATACAGACTATGATGCACCCTGGTCCAGTACGGTTCGCGGTTCCCATAAATGTTTGTAGTGTACATGGTACGCCTGGCCGAGAGCCTCGAAGCACCAAAAGCTCCGGCAAAAAATCGGCCAGTATAAAAGAAAAGAAGACGGACAAACATTTAAAAAAAACCTGTGTTTAGGTCTCAGTATAATGTAAATAATATAAGGCTTTAATTTAAAATCACAGATCGTTATAATTTTATTTATAAGTACATAAATTAGTTAAAGTTGAAGGTTACCTTCAAATATATAATTTTAGTAATTAAAATCTCGTTTTCCTGTATGAATTACAAACGAAATAAATTGGCACTAAAAATAAACACATAAATGTTGAACAGATAACGTGGGAACATTTTCAGTGCTTCATATAATTCTAATGCCGGTGACCTTTATTTAAAGTTGATTCAATAAAAACTGCATGTAATAGTGTATAAATAATTCTATTAATAAAATTCTCCACCTAATTTCACGTGACTCGTTTTAATTGCTTAAATGCCAAAGCGTCTTTACGCTACGTGAGCACGTTTAGCCTTGGGCGTGAATAGATAGTACGGGCGCCTAGTTAAGATAGGTCAGATTCAATTTACAACACAGAATCATGACATTCCCTAAGAAATGTGTCTGCTAATACGCTTTAAATATCATCATGTCTGCATTTCAAATCTTGTCTTTGACCTAATAAAATTCTTAACTGTTAAATCGAACATATATAACAATATTAAATAAAACCTAGTTAAGAATTTTGATTTGTAGGCCTTTATAATAATAAAACTGAGTTGGGAAAATGGTCGTACGCGAGAAACTGGTCAATCGCGGCTATTAGTCCCGTCTATCTTTACAAGGCAGTAATATAATATAACTTTAATACTTATAACTTTTATGTAAGTTTAATTTATATGTCAAAAAGAAGTAGGACCGACGGCGTAACGTACTCGTAATTGCAAAATTCTCTCTTCCACTCTCTTATATTATCGACACGCGATGAACATAAGCGGGAAGCGTGTGAGACGCAAGGCAGGGTGAGTCACGGGCACCTTGGAGTAAGTCTTCTTTTCTATGTCTCCTTGGAGTATATGCGTTGATGGTCACGGGCGTTTCTTTTTTAAACTTACAAGTTCCGAAGGAGAGTGCTAACGATATACTCACTGTGACAATCACTGTACATTTTTGACCATCAAAAAGATGATTACACATCGTTGTTTACAAAAAAAAAGCATATAATATAGTATGTAATGGTCACTAGTATTTGTTTCATAGCGGCAACAGAAATAGATCAAATGTCTAAGTAACACGTTTTATGAGATATTCTGGTGACAGACGGATAGACAGAAAGCGGAGTCTTAGTAATAGGGTCTCGTTTTAACCCTTTGGATACGAAACCCGTCGGCTAAAGTAGTTTAATAAAATTATTAAACAACTGAAAATACCTAAAAATATTTGTCATAGTATCATAATAATGATCATAAGAATTGAAACATTTTATCATAATAAGTAGGTATGTGCTGGTTTCCAAAATAAGATTAGGCATTTTTTCAAAAATTTTTATGAAAATACCCCTTATGAAACTCCTGTCCATTAACATAATATATTTGTTGAAATCAAATTAAGATTAGAGATTAAGCCCTAGTTATAAAAGCTGTGTTTTTACAAAATTTGACTTAGAATGAAAATAAAATACGAATCAATCGGCAAAAAACCAATTAAGTAAAAATAAAATAATAGGTACTTTTTATTTCCAGTAGCTTTGTATATTTCAAAAGAAATTGATTTGTAAAGTGAAGGCACGAAAACACATATTATGCTTTAATAGCTACATACTTACTGGTTACAGCAAGGTAGAATTGAAGTTGATCTGTTTATTGTATTACTATCTTTATTCATAAAATCAAATCATTTATCAATCGAAATAAGAAATATACATTTCATCTATCGATAGTCATTTTTTAAATCCACCACCGTTTTGTAATGAGGTAACGAGGTTTCCTCTAACGGAGAAGTAACAGACGAAAGAAACTCCGTAGGTATCATCTTTTTTTCATTTTTTTCTCAAACAAAATACATTGTTATATAGTTAGAAACAGCTTAGCAGCGATCATCTCATTCCCCATATTATCTATAACGATGTTGCAGTGGTATTTCTATTAAATAAATAATACTTTTTCTAACTGCGAAAATTTAATTTTAACTCTTGGAACTTAAACAATTTATTCCACATTTCGCTTTAAAAGAAGTGCTTATAATAAGGTCCATAATTAGATAGTAAACTTAAAATTTTCAATTTAACAATTATGCTACATCTCACCAGAAAGTAATACGACTATTGATTTCATGCCATTACTGCGCAAACATGGCAAATCTCGTGTATGACATTATTATATCGTGTATGATATTGTAAAAGTTATGATTTTTTTTTCCGGAAAGTACGACTAAGATTATATAAGTCCGTTAATTTCATCCGTTGGGGGCCTCTGTAGCCCGGGGGCCCCCGTAGCATTAATACGGCTGATACGGGGATACCTACGCCCCTGATTAGCAATAATTGTAATTTTATTTATAAATTGTAAATTACCAGTTCAGAATATATTCATTTAGGTATTCGTATTTTATTTGAAAGAAATAATATTTGTATGGGCCAACTCCAACTCCAACCTCTTAGATAGAGGGCGTTTGGGCCCCCCCCCCCCCAGGACCAGGGGCGCAGGGTGAGCCGCCCTTTCCGCCCCCCGGTTAGTCCGCCGCTGCTATTGACGCAAACATTTCTAATAAAAAATTAGTATTACCTATCGAAAACTGACAACACTAAGAGTTATCGCAATAATTATTATATTATAATTAATAAATCAATTAAATATATTTTAGGCACAATTATTATATATATTAATTGTGATTAAAAATATAACCTCCCAGTTTACTTTACCCAGGAGTACCTACGTTATCTATAAATTAAGTTAAATTTTGTAATTATTAATGTAACGTAGAGATGAATATTTTCACGAGCTTATGAAGCTTTTAGTTGGTAATTCTTGAAGCGGTATCGACAAAATTAAAAGTTAGTATTTAATACACAAGTATTACATTCAAATCGTTCGTATCGTACCAATATAGCGTTTTGTACGCCTGTACTCATATCTTTACATTTTCCCTTCCTATTTATAGAAACGTTACCACACACTTTCAGAATGTCAAGGCTGTTTACGTTATGTCACCCACCCCATTGCTTGAAGAGTGAACCATTTTTGCGCGATATCATAAAACTATAAATATAGTATTTTGTTTTTCGATTTTAGTTACGTTATATTTAATAAATTATTATAGTATTTTATGAAATATAATCTATAATACTAAGTAAATTTTAAATTATTTCTCATATCAGTACCAAAACCAAAATCCTACAAACCGACAAATTCTATTGAAATAAATAAAATAAAATTATTTAATAATTTCTTCATTAGGCCCGTTTCAGTTAGTATTAAAAGCCAATATAAGAAATGTTTATTTTACTTAGCAAAATATAGTTCAGCGTATTTTTTTATAATAATTCATTTACATTTTCTGTTTAATGTCATCTATGTTAAAAAAAAGAAAGATTAAGGTTTCAAAAATATCAATAAATATTCAGTTGCATTTTCAATCGACATTAATAATAAAACTTCTTATAATAAAATAATACTTTATTGTCATTCAAAACATTTTATCATATTATTCATACATATATATCATACATTATAGATGCATAACACATATTGTCGTTGTCTTCCTTGCCACTTGCATGCTCGATGCGTTCTATGGACCATCTAACCTAGAGATTAAATTTTGATACCTTTCTTAGACTTGCTGTGTGAACTAAAAAATCGGTACGAATAATATACGAGACAAGTATATGTATTGCTAATAATTAAAATAGTTAGTTATGCTTGCGAAATTTTAGCACAGTACCGGTAATTACACACTTAAACAAATTTTCCATAGATGACATTATCATACATTGTTTGTAGGCCAATAATTTTAACCGAAACTATTTTCATGACTTTAACTTTGACTATTTTTCGTCATAAGCTTTATGTTTTTTTTTATTACATTTGATGAAGAATTATGGAAGCAACCATAATATAGCAAAATATAACATCTTTGAGAAATTATTATACATGACCAACGTAATATCTTACGTATTTATTTTACCGTATTATTATTTTGGAATTATGCAACAATTATTAACTTCATTACACAGTCCAAGATGTCTAAACGTTAGAACAATGATATGCTAACAGAGAAGTGTTAAAAGTCAAAATATAATCCTTAGATTCGATGGACTGTAGACCGATAAAAGATTTCAAGTCTGTCAAAGGAATAGAATAACGTAATTATTAAAGCACCCATGGTTAGAACGTCGATTTTCGCCGCGAAGACTACATATTCCCTTGGATTATGGAATATGCACCAGCGGCAGCGACAGGGGACACGACATAGGTATAATCACAATGTAGTGCTTTAATCTAAGTAAAAATAATCAATCGCGACTATTAGCCCGTTGGACGATTATCCATAATCACGCTAAATCAGCCACTAAACTCGGTAAAAACAACTGTTTTGCTATCTCTATCTTAACCTGGTAATTGATCTGGGGCTTAAACCTGCGATACGCCATCAACTATGCGTTCGTTGCTTACTCAAATTAAGTTTAAAAACAATACGAAAAGTAACACTATATATACTGTAGGAAAATCAATAATTTCGTCATGAACTCTCAATCAAACTCCAAACCTTGACTGATTTGTCGTTACTTGCTGTTATGAGAGTGCTTGAGGCCGCATCTAAATAGATGCATGTGATTGAATCTGAAAAAAGATCAATTCAAATGCTTTTTGTAGTATTCTTTCGCATGTATGATTTATAACATAATTTTATCGTAAATCGTAGTTAAACAGAGAAAAAATTATGGTCAACGACGGAACGTAAGCTATTATTGTCATTGTGACTGTGTCGTTGTGACGGCGTTCAGCCAGGTCTAAACACGTGAGATGCACGTGATGGAATCTTTTTTTTATTATAAGAACATTGCCCTTACTTTAGGATAACATTATACCGTGTTGTAAGGACGTTTTACAAACATAAATTCCACGTTGACAAACAACCAGATGCGAAACAACTATCTCAGTGTCAACTGTCACACAAACAGTTGTCCCGTGTGGGAATCGAAGCCTATACCTTAGCAACTGCGGCACGGGCTCATCGAAATCTTCGGAAATTCAAAAATCATCGGAATCTGAAACAAGATGTAGAATGAGACGGTCACCGTACCATCGTGGGCCTTGAGACGATCGAGCCGCGTGACGGTGATCATGTCCCACTGCAGAAGGGCCCCGTCGGCGCCACCCAACCACAGAGTGCCGCTGCCCTGCCGGCACAGCGACGCCAGCGCCCCTTCCATGCGCTTGTGGTACACCTGCCCCGTCGGTAGATGGCGCAGACAAAATTTTATTAAAAAAAACATTTTTGAAATGAAGTGAGTGAGTTTTAACGACGCGCGACATCCGAAAGCGACGCCAACTTCACGACGGTGTTAGCACTAAATGTAAAAATAATACTTAATTTTCATTGTTTCAAAAGGCAAAAGCAAAAGCGACTTAAAAAGAAAGAAAAACAAATGAAAAAGAGTTCACTTCCGTTCATGTATACTGAAACATAATCTCATTTCAAACAGTCGATGATGACGTAATGGTTAATAATATTAATTGACAATATACCTTAGCAAGGCCTCATCCGAAGGGTCTCTCCCCGTCGGGTCGAATAAATTCAATTGAGAACTGTGGTAGGGCCACGCAACAATCCCCGCTGTTGGACGAGTGAGCAGGTTCGACCGGATAAGTACCACAAAGAAGCCCGGCGCGAAGTGTAAGTATATACTTCTGCATACCGGGGCCCACTTTATTATGGCAACGCATGTGCAACCTTACGGGTGTTGCAACGGTTATTATTTAACATCGGGTGAACCGTCAGTTCGTTTGCCACCTTCCGACACAGAAAAACCGGCCAAGTGCGAGTCGGACTCACGCACCAAGGGTTCTACATACTATAAAAACGATAAATAAAAATCATGTCAGTTGTATGGGAGCCCCACTTAAATATTTTTCTATTCTGTTTTTAGTATTTGTTGTTATAGCGACAACAGTAATACAAAATGTGTGAAAATTTCATTTTTTTTTCAATGAGATACAGCCTAGTGACAGACAGCTGAATCTTACTAATAGGGTCCCCTTTTACCCTTTGGGTACAGAACCGTAAAAAGGGCAAATAAATCATGTCCGTTGTATAGGAGGCCCAGATAAATATTTTTCTATTCTGTTTTTTGTATTTGTTGCTATAGCAGCAGCAGTGTTAAATAACACGGTTCAAGACAGACAGACAGACAGTCGAGTCAATAGGGTAATAGGGTATAACATCCCTTCCCGAGGCCTCAACCTAACGGGCTGGCGGACCGGGTTCAATGCCCGCACTAGTAGGCCTAAGGGGCTGGCGATCCGGGTTCAATGCCCTCAAGAATAGGCGCACCGACCGTGTGCAACACGCCGAGGTCGGTGACCTTGAGCTCGCCGTCCTCCGCGGCGGTGACGAGGCTGTCGCCCGAGAGCACCTCCGCCAGCCCGCAGAGCGGCGCCGAGTGCGCGCGCACTTTGCTCCTGAGCGTCTTCGACGCGAAGTCCCACACGAACACCTCGCCGTCGCCCGTGCCCGCAATAACGTCCAGCTCCGAGCGCCGGCGCCTGTTAAGGTTGAACGGTATGGATGGATTAAAAAAAAATGAGCCTTTAACGAATCAAACTACTTTGCGTTAAACAACGCAACGCGCGCGTACTTCAGAGCTCCGTTAACGCGCGGCTACAGCGACGTACACTATGATAGCGGGCGACTATATAAGCGGGCAGTGGCGGCTTAGCAAATCAGTTCAGTTCTGTTGCGTACGGCGACGCTTCCGCATCTTGTGGAACTAGCCGGACCAACTGATCAATAGGGCACGTGCAAGCGAACAGAGGTGCCATATGAACGCTTTCTGCACCTTGCATTCCTCTATCCTTGTATTGTTGTTTGGGAAAATAAATAAAGTGTTAAACGAAACTCTATAATTCAACAAGCCTATATTGAAAAAAGAACTTCTTAACTTGCACAGAGGAAAATAATACTTTTAATATTATAAATTTTTGAATCATTACAGTATTATGATCGTTTTGTTTTTCTATTCTATTGCGTTGAATTTGCAAATGAAACAATTTTTGCCCAGTCGCTCATTTTTAATTGATTAGATTCGAGCGACCCCGAGTTCAAATCTCGGAGCTGGCACCAAAGGAACGGAACTGCATTTTTAAGCTTGCTGATGCAAATGTTCAACGATGGAGGAGAATCTTGTGACAAAACCTGCATTTTTGTTACAAACAAATTCAGAAGTAATCCATTTCGAGGATATGTGAAATTTGGCAAGACGCAGCGGGTTCGCGCGGTAGACTAAGCCCTACTACCCTCTGCATGGAAGAGGCCCAGAAGTCAGATATATTTTATCTCTTTATTCTTTCAAGCACACTGCACACAATTATACAAAGTTGGAAATAATGTCCCTAAAGTGGTTTTTAAACATCCATATTATAAATACCTTACATAAACAATTACTTGACTGTTTTATTGACATATATACGCAACCTATATGTGATTGCAGTAATCTTGCCGTCATGATCGAATTCCGTCTTGAGGCCTCTTAGCGCCTGCCCCGTCTTGCCAACGTTCCCCCACACGCGAACAACCCCGTCCCAGCCGCCAGATATCAAAAGGCGGTCTAGAGATAAAATAAAAGAAACAAAATTACGGATGTCGCATCTCAATAAACACAAAGTTCAAGTAACAGTAGTAATACTAAGTGCATAATAGATTTCCACAAAAAGTTACATTAAATTAAGAAGGGTTATGTTTGAGTATATGAGTGAGTTTTACCTTAAAAATGATTCAGTTGATTTATAATGTACTCAAGAAATGATAAGACGCTCACTTGAGATTCTTTTATATATTTGGCAAAAAACTTATCTTCAATTTTTTCAACAAATTTTAAAGTGATGAATAAATAAAATGTTAAAAGTTCGACTTGTTAATTAATCGTGGTTTACAAATTTGCATGAGGAAATGGGTAAATAGAAATAAAATTACATTTTTCTTTATATTTATCCGTTTCCAAACAGTATATCAGAATAACCTACCTTCTGTCAACCAAAGAAGACAACTGACAGAGTCGTCGTGCGCCCGAAAACTTTCCACGACCCTTCCATATTCAACATTGTACAAATATCTGAAAATGAAAAATTTTTTGGTTATTGCAACTACTAAAAAAAAGCAACGATAGTGATAGCATCAAAACAAATCATTTGTCTACCAATATTTTGTAGTTTTCAATATCATCAAGACTTATATCACTGTTGTTATATGCGATTATCAATCGCTAGAAAAGTTCCACACTTTGTAGTATACATAACTAAGTAAAAAAAAACATACAACAAATACACATACATTTGTCATTTCTATTTTGCTATTTTTTCAATAATATATGGCCCTGTTTATTATAAACTGATTTTTATACACTGGTTTATTTATTTCAGAAAAGATCTCTATATAATAGTAAAAACAAAATTACTAGTAACATCAAGCTATCTGTTTAAGCTGTAAAGGGGCATTTCTTAGACCCCTATAAGTAATGTAGCCCAATGATTATACGGAAGAAAAAGTTCAAGAAATATAAAAATTACTTTTAGTTTGTATCAATTAAAATTTCCCACCATTTTTTTGTGAACACCACCGCACCAGTGTTTGTGAACAATTATTTCCATCAATAGAAATGTCTGACCCAACGGAGACAGAAAACTGTGATAGTATGATGTGCTTACATCTCATTGTCCCAGGAACCAGCCGCAACGATATGCTCGTCGACCATCACACAGGAACTCAAAGGTGTGGAACAGAGCACCACACTCCTCATTTGCTTCCCCTGCGCCAAGTCGTACACCTTCAGGGTGCCGTCACGTCCGACGGAGATGATCCTCGAACTCTGCCTGATCGCACAGGTCACGGCTTCCTTATGTAGCCTTATTATGTCCACGCACTCCAAGCTAGCTGGTCGCATACCAGTATCCTGTTGATTAAAGGGCCTCGGCACCGCCTGTGCTGCCCTCTTCACGTGGGGCTTGGTGAACAGCTGCTTGGGAACTTGCCCGAACTCCATTATCTGGACCTCTAGGGCGTGCCTATCGTTCATGTCGTAGACGCACTCAAGGTCAACGGAACCCTCGTAGCACACATGGTGGAATACTGAAATATTATTTCATTAGGATAAATATTTGTATGTAATATCTATAAAGGGTTATGTTAAACTTTGGATGATAGTGCTCTCTCACCGAAGTAAACACCAAATAGTAATTTAATTTTGGGGGCGCTAATTATTTATTTATCAAAAAAAAAAATATAACTTTTGCCCTAAGGCAGTTTATCAAATCCCCTTTTAAAAAAGTCCAATGATTTTTCGTTAAAAACCTTTTCCCAGTGTGTTACACTTCACCATCTTTATTAAAGTTTTTAATGTATGGTTTTATAATCTAAAAAGGTGGTTATCCAACGACGCGAAATATAGTGAATAGGAGGATAAGATAAAAATTCCATCTTGGCTTGCTTATTGTTAGCTCGTTAAAGGTGGGGATTAGATGACAATTATATGATTAGAATAAAGTTTGACTACAGACATGGTTATAGCAAAATTCTAGTTAGGTTTATTTATTTCACTTCATTTAAAATCCTTAAATGATTTGGTCATTGTGCATGTATAATTAAATTTAAACAAATTTTGTGTAAATATAATACAAGCACAATTGCTCTAAGGTAATAAAAAAATAAGAAAACTTGAAAAAACGGACCAACCATTATGAGATATTGCTGCCTCTTCCCCTCTCTGCTTATACCCGAAAATGAGATCAATCCATAAATGCAGATGCCTAGAAACATAATCGCACTCCAGAGCCTCGCGAAGATTCGACACAAACTCCTCCGGCGTTCTAGCCCATGGTGGTAGAGCAACATCCCTCACTTTGGAACCGTCGTATCGCTCGCCAAAATCAATCTCGAAATTGTTAACTAAGAAATCGCCCTTGGCACTTGTATCGTAAAACTCTGGCACCAGTTCCTTAAAGCACAAAAGGCAATGAATTATTGATTTATATATATTAATACTTAACTCTAATATTCCTTTAACTTAATAGAAGGTAGGATTTTTTTTAATAAAAATCGGTTACTTCGTGACAAGTCACATTTTAAGTAATAACTTACCTTAAAATCAGACATGTTCTTCAAACAATTATTGTAGACATCCCGCACTGAATTAAACATTCTGTCAGGATGATCAAATTTTCCATTTTGCAAACACAACATATAACGTGGATATTTACGGACCTGGAACACATTAAACACATAAATATATATTGTAATACAAATAAATTTCATGTTATCTTTATTTTTTTTACTTTTATAAATTAATTATGCAAAAAAGAGATCAACAAGACTCAAATGAGAAAAGAGTACAATATAAATGCTGAGTAAATAATATTAGTATAATATACATATAGGTATATTACAATAAATCATAATATATAAGTATCTCTACAAGTACTCGCCTCAGTAACATTAGCAATCAGAACTTTCAGCATCATTTGTAACTTTACAGGGTTTTAGCAAAAGTAGTCTATACCACTATTCTATACACGACGAGTCTGTGCCAGTACTCTATACTTCTACGAATTTGATAATCCAACAACACATTGCAAAGAATTATTTTACTATCTATTTAAATAATAACCTTTAGATTAAAATACAAACATATATATCTCCACTTACGAGGTAAAACAAGACAAGTCCTGGTGCAGAATAGTGGGAACCATATAAAAATTTTGGTTCATTCATTTCATTATATCTTTCCATTAATTTCTCCAAGCGGTCTGGATTTAATGCACCCATTGGTTTTGATAAATCCCGGAAACTTTCTGCTTTGTTTAAATCCAACTTTTTTGAGGTATAATCAGCAATTATCCATGGAAAGACTGGATATTGAGTTAGATCGTTTTTACTTCTGTCAGCAAGACTAAAATTTCATTTAAGACATAAAAGATTTAATTCATTGTTGAAAAGTTTAATGTCTTATTCTTTTTAGAATGATTTATAGAGATTGTTTGTGAATGTTTGAGGGGGGCGGGGGGGGGGGGGGGGGGGGGTCGAACCCACATATCTTATATGATTTGCTCCTATGGATTTAAAACCATATATAGTTTTAAATCCATAGGAGATTATTAGATAATTTTATAGCTGCTTCTACATTTATATATGAGACAGAAGCACTGTTGTATTCCAAAAATTTTCAGCTTTTACATGCAAGAATCTTTAATCTCTCCTTTATTAATAACTGACAAACAAGCTTAAGGTGTTGAGCAAGAGTAAGGTGCTAACTCTTACAATTATAAAATACTTTATGCATCATAGATATTGATTATATTTGTAAAGCTATTTTATTACTAACATATTAATAAGGTATACTCACCAATTAAGATATAATAAATAATCATAGTTTGAGACAATGCCATTTTGCCACTGTAATGTCATTTCTTCCATATGAACTCTTTCTAATTGGACATTTGGCGATTCCTCCAGCATTTTGTATACCTTGTCCCTATCATCTTCAGATGAAAATGTAAGGTATATGTGTGATAGAGCCATATCTTCTTCACCATATATCTCAAGTCCCTACAATAAAATAAAAACAATTTTGTATTTGTGAATGCATTATAAGGAATAAGATAATATATAAATGGTTACATAATCCAGTTGTTTGATTTTTCAATTCATAAAATGAATACACAGTAATTAAAAATCTCTAGGTCCCTAGGCTTTACGCAAATGTAAAATCATAAACCCAAAGCACAGAAAATTATTAGAAAAATTAATGATCATATATATTTAAAAAAGAAAAACTGTACACCATTTGGGATCAAATCCACAATATAATGAGAACATGGCAATCAGAAAGGAATATACTTAAACCATTATGCAGTTCATGCAATTATTAACCTCTGTTAATGTTAATGTAATATGCTCATCAAATAAATATTGTTTAATTCACCTTGTCTAAATTGTATGTACTTAATAATAACTGTGACTTTCTTAATGGCACATTTAAATTTAGGCAAAGTATAAAACTGAGAATCACAATCAATCTCCTTTGAAAGATAAATTTTAAAATAAGCATAAAAAATGTTTCATCTAGAAGCTTATTAAAAGTGCAAAAAATAACAACAAGTAGTGTGATACATACAACTTGCCTTAGTAAAAATCTTCTTTTATACATTTTTCTCATATCCCCTAATTTCAGCTTCAAAATAGGAGTCTGTAAATCAAACATTTCTGAATTAAAATGATTTATAGTCAATTCAATAAAGATAAATGAATATTGTAGATTTTTGGGCCAATGTGATCATCAGGCGAATCATTTATCATCATCGTCATTTCAGCATGCTAGAGTGTTTGACATTAATCACATCAACTTCAATCAACTTTTGTTCAATTGTCAACACAATCAACTTTTGTTCTTACTAGACTATGATTATTTTTTCTTAGAATGTTCTTAAGGCTTCCTTTTGACCAACATCAATTGTCATGAGGTCTATGTATTCCAATTGATTAAAGCTAAATACTCAGAGAACTATAAAATTGAGATATTTTAAGTAATTTATAAGTTTTTTTTCTTACACTTTCAATGTTGCTAAAGGGCTGGAAGTACAGAGTAGTAGGTGTTAGTGCTAATTTTCCTTGATGCCTCACAAGTGGAGATATTTTTTCAGCTTGCAATTCACATATAATTTCTTCTGTGAAGTCTTCCATCATAACGGGATCAAATACCATTCTCATATAACGGGAATGAAGAATAGTTGCTACCATACTGTTGTGTTCTGGAGCATGTAATGTGGATGCTCTCTGCAATTGTTGCATTTGACTCAAGCATTCTTCAGCCGAGGCAAAGTCAAAGAAAAAATAGAAATCTTTCAACTCATATTTAAATTTGTAGGGTGCAATAACATTCTCCTCTAACATTTCAGAATACTGTCTCATTTTGACTTTAATAATGTCTTTGGTGTCATTATCTAATGACAATTTAACAATACTGATATCTGAACAATCTTTATAATGAAGTTTTGTTAGTGGATAGAGCCATTCTTTTGGTTCGAAAACAAGTGATTTGGAGCAGAGTTTTAAATGACCGGTTCTAGTTTCACTTGTCGTTAATGAGGCTTGTGGGCTCATACTACATGAGAAGTCTTCAAAGTATATTTCTCCAGGTTCTAACACCAACATAGAGAATCTGAAGTAATAAGGTCATAGGAATTATTGGAACGTATCAATAATTCATCCAACAAACAAACAAATCCTAAAAGAACGTGCAGAAAAGAAATAATAAAAAGAAAGAAAAGAAGTAATTATTATAAAGTCTTAATGCCATCGAGTACCTCGATTTATTCATTGTTGTTCACGTACACTTTAGCAAATAAAATAAAAACCGGCTTTAGGTATAAAATAGCTATTTCACATTTTATATCCATGTATATATTTAAAATTGGGTAAACATCGAAATATACTCTAAATGTAAATGGGACTTAAAAGAAAAGTTAACTTTTTATGGTAAACTATGAAAAGATTAAAGACGAAATCTAACAAAATACTGTTCATTGTTCAATTCAGTGTCACTGTCAATATCAATATACTTGTGATTGTGGGCTTGTGACAAATAAAATGACAGCTGTTAATAATCATCACAATCATAGTTTATGGTGTTTGTCTTTTTTTCTCATTCAATTTCAATGTAATTCATAGCACCTAAACTAAAGTCAATCCTGTAATTTACAAAATCATAGGTCTCTTACAATCTAAGTACTTTTATAATATACTGATATTGTATACCTACTATTTATTTAATAATAGTTGAAGCTAGGTATTGTATAAATTAAAAATAATAATAAAAACCAATGAAATATGTGACCATCTGATTTTATGACACATTGATCATATGCTTTTGTGTATGCTATATTTAAAAAGTATAGTAATATACTAAATGTCTTATCTAATATATATATGTCTTATCTATGTACTAATATGAAGGCGCCATTTTTAAAGAGATTTGATTATTATCATATTATTATTTTCTCATCATAATTAATAGTATGCAGGAAGATAAAAATGCAATTTTTCAAATGCGCTTTCCCCAAAAACTATGGTATTTGCTTAATATGCATACCGATGCAATATTGTGGGGAGGTACCGGTCGAACCATTTTACTGAACTATAGGATCCTCCATAATTACCTTCAATGTGAGAATTCTATTTTTAAAACAACAAATATTTCAAGTTTCGTACGGCAGCTTAATTTATACGGATTCCGTAAAGTAACTTCACATCTTCAAGATCCGCTTTGTAACTCGAGTAATCCATACATGCATGAATATATTCACGATTTTTTTCAATATGGAAGACCAGAACTCTTAAATAAAATTACAAGAAAAGCATTAACTTTAAAAAGAAACTTAAAATCTAAGGTACTTATTTATGTGATTAGCATTACCATCTTGTTCTTGTTAGAACTATCTTATTCCTAATATTTTTCTTCATTATTAGAACATTTTTAATAGTTCCGAACAGAGCACATTTATTACACCTCTTGAAAAGGCAAGACGTGCTCTACAAATTGCTTTGAAGAAAACTGCTCAAGATTTATTTATACAGACTTCACCGAAACAGCTACACAATACTACTCATGATCTTGAAGGTATTTTTAAGTTAATATTAATGTATAAACTTTAACACATAAATAAAAAATGTAATTTTAAATGTTTGATATTTAAACTTGCAATACATTATACATTTTGACAAGTGTTTATTAATACCTTTAGACATGCAAGATGAAATGTGTGAAGAAGAAGACATTGCTGTAGATTGGCTTATACCAAACAATATAAATACAGAAGTGCAGAAGGAACAGATAACAGGTTTTGAATCAAATTCCTATCCGCTAGATCCTCTTTTTATTCCATTATCACTTTTCCTTCATATATTTAAACCTTTCCCACAAAACCTGAATAGACTTTCATTTGACCTACAGACAAAATCAAAGAAGATGCTTTTGTTAATACAAGTCATGAGTTCCAAAATTATGAGTAAGTATCACATCTTCAAGTGGATAATTTGTATTTACACTACATATATACTATAACTTAATGTTTTAGGAATAAATCACAGGATTGCTTAATGAGTTTTAGTGATGAGTCTTGTCAACAAAATGTTGACAGTTTCCCCACTCAATTTTTAAACATGCCAGATCTAGATCCAGAACCATCAGAAAGATCAGGTGTTGAATTATTAGCAGAATTCAATATTGAAAATGGACAAGACATTGCTGTAAAAGATGTTAAACAAAATGATCATCAATTTCTTAATTGTGTACTTCCATCTATAAGTAGTGATGATGTATCAATGACAGAGGTATTTATAAATTATAATTGTTTTTTAAAATAATTCATCACAATTTCTACTTCCAAATTTTGTAATGCCAGTATGCCAATAGGTCGAGATTTTTTTTGCTATTCATTGTATTTTATTTATTAAATGATTGTTTACCATTAAATAATACCTATATCACATAAATATATTTAATATATTTGTTTTCAGAAACACAATGAAAATACAAATCACTATCACAGTGAATGGGACCAAATGTTTAATGAAATCATCACCAGCAAAGGGTCATCACAAGAATCTTCATCTAATTTAAAAGAGCTCTATACTCAAATATCTCAGACAATTCATTTATAAAGCTCTACTATGTATGAATTGAAACCCCTAGTTTAATTACCAGACTCTTTTAATTATTTATGTAAATGTAAAAATACAGTATATTGTTATTTCTTCTGTTTTTTCTTTTCTGCTTCTTCTTCTTTTTCCTTCTCTATAACAGATACATAAGAATTGATTGTGTCAATATCAAGCATTTGCATTGGCTGGTTACGCCTCATTACTGCTATTTCCAAATTCTTTTGGCCGGACTGTACAACTTCCAAGAGAGCTCGAATAGCTAGCTGCAAAAGTAAAATAATACAGGAATTAAATCACTGCTTATTGTCATCTTATTAAGTCACATCATGCGACACAAGTATATTTTAGTTGACTGTTTTAAGATTTATTCAGCCCCCTGGATAAATTTTATTTTGTTTAGGTATTTAAGTGTTTTTATATTACCTTTACTGCACCCTTTTCAGTTGCCACTTCCTCTGCAGTATAGTTCTTCTCTAGAAATTCTCTTACTGTTTTTGCTGATCTTCCTGTTGCATTAGCTTTCCACTCATAGTATATGCCTGATGGTTCCGTTTGGAATAAATGAGGTTGACCATCATAATCAAATCCTCCAATAAGGCACGAAATGCCGAATGGTCTTCGTCCATTACTCTGAGTATACTTTTGTTTAAGGCCCGCTATGTATCTTGTAATATATTCTAATGTAACTGGATCTTCTACAGTAAGCTTATGAGACTGACATTCAATTTGAGCTCGATTTATCAAAATACGAGCATCAGCTGTTAAACCGGCAAAAGCCATAACAACATGGTCATCAAGAAGGCATATCTTTCTTACAGTTCTTTCTTCCTGAAGTTTAGCTACAGATTTTTTCTCTACACCTAACACTACAACATCATGACCTCGTACACCGACCTGGAATTATGTTCGTTTACTAGTTTTGTATAAACAGAAAATACCAATGTCCTAACCAAAACTTACCGCTGTCGATCCTTTTCGTACTGCTTCTTGGGCGTATTCTACTTGAAGTAAATGACCATCTGGTGAAAAAACAGTAATAGCTCTGTCATATCTTGCCGACATGGTTGAGCTTCACTTGTATTTTCAATGAAATGAAATATTGAACAATACAGTAGAGTAGGACTTAACTTAGTTTTAGCACAAAGTTGACAAATTAAGAATGATGCCGATTCATTTCTGTCATATTCAAATTGATTTTGGAGCAGATCATAAATAATACAACTGTACTGGCCTGGCACAGATATAAAATCATAGTCCGCCAAACTATATCGTCACACAACACTATTGTTAGAGTTCAGGTATGTAATAAAAATATATACGTCCACATTTTAAAATATACCTGACTGCATCATTTGTCTGGGGGATAAAATGTGGGCTTTTGAAACTTTAAAACTTGTTGAAACACTTTAATATTTGAATACCAATAATGATCTAACTTTGCACACGACAACGACACGAATATCGCCGTCCACTCCCTTGCATCACTGCGACCTCACGAAAGATGAACGAATTGTAGATCATTCGTTATAAAATGTCAGAGATTTCATAACATTTCGCTAAGGATTACTGGCCACTTACAGATAACAGGTGTTACATTTGAAAATTGTACTGTTCCGGTGTGAGTCAATTTCAGTCGAGAGAAAAACGTCTTTGTATAATTATGTATTTCGTGTTAATTTAATATATTTTTATTATTCTATGTGTCAATAATTTATCTTCATTGAATTCATCATTGATTGGGAATAAATCTTTCCATCAGGGTTATGGGCCAAGATGAATACTAGTGAAAATATGGAAATTTCGCATGATGGATATAAAAAATGAAAATTCGAGTACAGAAATACGAAGTGCGGGCGTTAATGCTGCGTATATTGAAAAATTAGTAGGAAGCTCTAATTTTCACACATGGAAGTTTGATATGGAGTTGTATCTAACGGATGATGATTTGTGGAAATATACGCAAGTGTCACCACAGCCGGAGGATGTAGCAGGCATTCGTAGAGACCAAAAAGCACGGGCTCGAATCGGTTTGATGGTGGATCAGAGATATCGCACCTTGATAAGAAAGACAAAGACGGCAAAAGAGGCCTGGGAGGCGCTAAGCAAAGCCTATGAGGACAAGGGCATAAATAACAAATGTCGATTGTTGGGCAGATTAGTTAGCATGAGATTGGAGCAATTTCAAACAATTGAAAAATATGTGACAGCCATACTGTCAGTGTCACAGCAACTTAGTGACATTGGTAAAGATGTTGATGATGAGATTCTGGCTACATTGATGCTTCAAGGTCTCCCAAAGAAGTATGAACCATTGAAGATGGCTATTGAAAATAGTAATATAACTATTACTACAGACTATGTTAAAACGAAGTTATACAACCTAAGCGATGAGAGCACACCATTAACTAGTTTTCAACAAGATGATTCTGCTCTTACAGCAAGCAAGAAAGGGAAAGGAAAATTCAAAGCAAACCAGAAAGCTAAGGCGATGAAATGCTTTATATGTGAAGAAAATCACAAAGCGGCTGAATGCCCTGACAATAATAACAGAAGGAAAAATTATTCGGCATCAGCAAATGTTTTTGCGACCAGTGGTCAAGGATCTTCAGCGGAATGGGTGATTGACTCGGGAGCGAGTTCACATATGACAAATGATAAAGGTTGGCTGAGAAATTATGTGGCGTATGAATCGAAGAGAGAGATTGCATGCGCGGATGGTGGTAAGGTGTATGGCTTAGGAATTGGTGATGTAGTTGATGTGGATGGGAGCATAAGAGTGAGTGACGCTATGTATGCTCCTGACTTGGCTACAAATTTACTAAGCGTAAATACGTTAGTCAAAAGAGGTAGAGTTGTAGTTTTTTCAAACAGAGGTTGTGAAATCTACAATTCGGATGATTGCGAGGTGAATGGATCAGTTGTGGCTGGTGACTGTTGGGTAGATAATGGCATTTATAAACTTAATCCTTTTCAACAGGGCACTATAGCACTAGTCTCCAGTATGCAGAAGGACGATCAACTGATGTTGTGGCATCGGAGGATGGGTCACCTAGGAGTAAGCAATCTTAAACTTTTGAGAGACAAACTGGCAGATGGGATAATTTTTCAAAATTCTAATATTAACTTAGAATGTGTGTAATATTAACTTGTCTGATGGGTAAGCAAACAAGGCAACCTTTTCCAAAGCGTAAGGTTAAAAGAGCTAGTGAAGTACTTGAGTTAGTACATTCTGATATTTGTGGGCCAATGAGTATCAACTCTACGGGTACAGATATTTTATGACACTTATAGATGATAAGACAAGGAAAACTTTTGTCTACTTATTGAAGAATAAGAGCGAAGCTGTTGACAAAATAAAAGAATTTAAAGTTTTTGCAGAGAGGCAAACAGAGAAGAAGCTGAAGTCAATCCGAACAGACAACGGCAAAGATTCACTAAGAAGTACGGTATAGTTCATCAACTTACTGTCGAGTATACCCCTGAGCAGAATGGGGTGGCAGAACGTGCAAATAGAACTCTCATGGAAAAAGCTAGGTGTATGCTGCATGAGGCAGGATTAGAAAAACGCTACTGGGCAGAGGCTCTTGTATATGCAGTTTTTCTTAAAAATAGGTCGCCTACGAAGGCTCTCAAGGATAAAACACCTGAAGAAGCTTGGACGGGACGAAAGGTGAACCTAGGCTTCGTGAAAGTTTTTGGGTGTAAGGCCTACACGCACGTTCCTGACCAAAAGAGGCGCAAGCTAGATCGAAAGAGTAAGGAGCTTATACTTTTAGGATACTGCGAACATTCCAAAGCGTATAGACTGTTGGATCCTGTTTCTGGAAATCTTCATAAGGCAAGAGATGTAGTATTTTTTGAGAATAATATAGTTTCACGGAAACAACCATCAAGTGAGATTTTGACTATTAGACAAAATTCTGCTTCTCATCAAAGACCGATTCCGGAATTCACTGTGGTACCACTAACAAGTACTCAATCAACGGAGGAGGTGGTCTGTGGAGAAGAGATAGAGGATGGTTGTAGAAATGAAACAGAGAGAAACCTCTCAGGGAACGGAGGAGGTATTATAATGCCTGAGTTAGAGGATATTGGAGCTAATATAGAACAGGACAGAACAGGTGCTGTTTCTTCAGTTACGGAGGAGACTGAAGACAGAGATGATACTGAACAATGGTATCTGAGTTCCGATGCACGGAGATACCCTATGATAAACAGAAAGCCACGACAATTCCCTGATCACGTTCTATATCAAGCAGTTCTACCCGGAGATAGTGGTTTTGGTTTGGAGGAACCTATAAATGTCAGAAAAGCACTCGCAGGCACAGACAGCTTACCTTGGCGTGAGGCTATTAAGGAAGAATTGGATGCTCTTCACAAGAATCGAACTTGGCAGCTAGTAAAGAGAGAGCCAAAACAAAACGTGATCGATAGCAAGTGGGTTCTTAAAGTTAAGACTGAAGCAGGAAACAAGCAACGATATAAGGCAAGGCTTGTAGCGAGGGGCTTCAAACAACGCGGAGGTGTTGATTACTTTGAGACATATTCACCTGTGATCAGGCATAGTTCATTGCGTCTTCTGTTGGCAATGGCTGCCGAGAATAAATTAAAAATTGATCAAATGGATGTGAAGACCGCTTTTCTTAATGGGTACATTGAAGAGACAGTGTACATGAAGCAACCTGAAGGTTTTGAGGAGAAGGGAAAAGAGGATTATGTGTGCTTACTGAAAAGGTCGTTGTACGGTTTGAAGCAGGCCCCAAGAGCTTGGAATCAAAGGTTGGACTCAGCACTGAAACAGTTGAAGTTCACTCAGCTAGACAACGAACCATGTGTTCGTTGATGATCTATTGATTTTTTGGAACAATAAAGCAGAAATGCAGCAAGTCAAGAAGGAGTTAAGAGATACCTTCGAGATGCGTGATCTTGGTAAAGCGGATTTGTTTCTGGGAATGCGTCTACAACAAACTGAAGATGACATTACACTAGATCAGGAAGGCTATATAGAGAAAATATTAGCCAGGTTTAACATGCAGGACTGCAAACCTGTTTCTACACCTCTCATTGCTGGTTATAGGTTGACCAAACCGGTGGAAACAAATTATGAGCCGCCTAATAACATTCCTTATCAAGAATTACCTGCCAAATACATTATAGAACCTACTAAGGTTCTATAATGTATTTGGCAGTCTGCACAAGACCAGATGTAGTTTTTGCAATAAGTTACTTGAGTCAGTTTAATAGTTGCTATGGAGAACAACATTGGCAGACACTAAAAAGAGTTCTTCGCTATCTTAAAGGCACCAAAAGCCTGGGGCTGGTGTTTAAACAAAGTGGAAGTGATTTAGAAGGATTTGTTGATGCAGATCATGCGGGTGATGTAACAGATCGCAAGTCCTATTCAGGTTATATTTTTAAATTTGGGTCTGCACCTGTGAGTTGGGAAAGCAGAAAACAAACAGTAGTTGCTTTATCAAGTGCAGAAGCGGAATACATTAGTTTGTCAAATGCTGCAAGAGAAGCAGTTTTTCTTAAGAGGTTATTTGGAGAAATAACTGGACTTAACAAGATTATTAAGCTGAGTAGTGATAGTCAATCTGCAATAGCTATGGAAAACAGTGAGGACTCTTGCCATAAGAGGTCAAAGCACATTGACGTTAGAGTTCACTTTATCAGAGAGGCACTTCGCAACAAAGTGATCAAAGTCTGAAGTATCTGGGGACAGAGTCGATGGTAGCTGACATTTTCACAAAGGCCCTGCCAAGAGCAAAGTTTGAGTTATGTTTGAGAGGCATGGGTATGAGTTTGTGTAAGTGTTGAGTGTGTATCGAATGAGTGATTGAGTGGCCTTATGAGTAGCGCAATGTTACGGAGGAGTGTTAGAGATTTCATAACATTCCGCTAAGGATTACTGGCCACTTACAGATAACAGGTGTTACATTTGAAAATTGTACTGTTCCAGTGTGTGTCAATTTCAGTCGAGAGAAAAACGTCTTTGTAAAAACTGTCTTTCTATAAAATACAGATATAAATAGATTAATTCTATTATGTATTTCGTGTTAATTTAACATATTTTTATTATTCTATGTGTCAATAATTTATCTTCATTGAATTCATCATTGATTGGGAATAAATCTTTCCCATCAAAAAAGGTAACTAACTTTGATGTCACAACAGGATCGAATGATTCCTGAGATAGAGGATTTTATTTCGGGTTTGAATGCTAGTGATCGCTACTAGAACTTGTTTAGAGGAAGTAATTCGGACAAAATTGCAATTGAATTGCGAAACAAAACGCTCGATATATCGCTTTAACAATATGTACTAAAACAATTTTTTTGCGAAATCAGTTCATTAAGGGAGATAAAATCACAGTTCAGTTAAGATGTAAAGTTGATTATAGTCATGATAGGTCATTGTCTGGGCGCTCGCTTTTTCAATCAATCTCAATTCAATATACTCGAGCAACCTGAGTTCGATCCCCGGTGCCAGTACCAATGACATTGTTAATTTTAGTCGCTGACTTATCACGTGCTCAGAGGTGAAGGAAAAAATCGTGAGAAAAAAAATTAAAAAAAAATATTTTGATAATATGGGAAGTCCGCCAAGCCGCAGTGGGGCTGCGTGGTGGACTATGCCCTGATACACTCGGCGAAGAGGTAGCCTTTGCCCATTACTGGGACATGTATGGGCTGTTACTTTACTTTTTTTTCAATATGTACGTCCCATTATGGAAAATGCGAGTCTCTGTCACAGATATCCATGCCAATTACTTGAAACACCTTCAAGTGATCGGATATACATATCTTCCTTGCGCCACTGACACCACATGGTATATGCAGAAAGAATCACATTCCAATCAAAGGCCACTTAAGTCCCTTGGCTAAAGCTGTCGAAATTTATCCTGCACCTACCACTGTGGTAGGGCCATACAGCAGCTTCTGCTGTTGTACGAATGTGCAGTCTCATCCAGGGAAGTACCACGGCCGCATAGAAACCCGATGTGAAGACTAAGTATTCAACTTTAGCGTTTCCTCTGGTTAGTAAGTAATCGGAGTCCACTTTTTTGGAGATGGTAACGCATCTGCAACTCTAGTCGACAATGTTCGCACAAGTTACATTGATGCTTTAGTTATTCAATGGATAGACGCGCATTTATTTCATACTAGCGACCCGCCTCGGCTTCGCACGGGTGTATAGTAGATACTCAATTTCTCGTCTTTTCTCCACTATAATATGCATGTATTCTACGAAGAACCTTCCGCTTGAAACGAATTAAAATCCGTTGCGTACCTAGTTAAAAAGATCTTTTTTTTTTGTATCGGGGGGTAAATCTTCCATAACCCGGGGGTAAATCTGTCACGTTACATGACAGGGTTATGTGAGGTTCTTACCCACTGAAACCCCCTCGGTGGTCACCCTCTGTACGTTTGGAGGGACTCCGGGATCTCCCACGGAACGCACCGGTGTCCCTCAGTACTGCGCGTGAGCACTCCCCGGAGAAGGATAGCTTACCAGGTTCCCTCACACTACAACACAACAATCACTCACATACAATATAAAGACATGTTTTTGTATCTTAATTAAGTGGTTTTTATAAAAGTGTTCCTTTATAATGTTTTAATATCGTTTTGGATACTTATAGAATCTTATTACTACTGACTCAGTTCTACATAGGTTGTTTGTGAAATACTTTTTCCCATAGTGATGGCATATTTCCATTAGTTATTTTCTTATATTAATAAGAAAGATTTCAAGCATACTATCATATCAACATTTCTCTGAATTTTGATATATTCCTCTGAGAAATGTTCTAAGTTGAATATAGTGAGTGCAGGGTGTTAACAGTTAACACTCATAATAATTGTAATGTATGAGTAAAAAATTAATTGAAAAGAAATTTAATATTAGTATTCCACAATCACCTTTTTTGCAAATTATTATAAAAAATGTAAAATGCAAATTGGTAGCAATTACTTACTGTTAAACGTAAATGCATCCAGTTTAGAAATACTAGAAATGTAAGATATGTCAAAAAAGATAGAAAATATGGCGGCTTCAGTGAATGAATTTGAGCCGTGGTTATGTGCAAAGTTAAAGTCTTTGAAAACAGACGAAAATGTTTTTGGACATTACATATCTGGAATATTAGAAACAGAGGAATCTATAGATGAAAAGAAAGATGCCCTTGAGGGTATACTTTCGGAAGTTGTGGTAAGTTAAAATATCGGTTAGAACATGCAGATACTTATTTTTCTTAAATGTACTCCAATATTTAACAGGAGAGTGATATAACAGACCATGTAAATGAAATCATAGAAAAATGGGAATCATGTAAGCCTAAAGAAGAAGTCTTAAAACCCGTAGCTGATGTAGATATCCAATTAGCTAAGCTTCTAGATTCTCAATCTCTTGCAACGACAACCCGACGAGAATACACTGATGAGGAAAAGAAAATACGCGAAGCAATTCTTTCGCAGTATAGTCAACTTTCTGATAATGAGGTAATGGTTAAATAGCATAAATATATTGATTTTGAACCCACAAAATAGTTCAATCAAGATTTTCTTTTTAAAATAATTTATTTCAGGAAGATCAGGACAATGAAGAGGAACCAGATAGTCCAGATTTAGTTAAAAATACAAATGCTTTAGATGTAGCAGCTGCTGCTAGAGAGAGAAGGGAACAAGCTAGGCTTGAGGCACAGCGCAAAAAAGAAAAGGATAGAGAAGACAGGTTAGTTTTGTAGTATTACTGTATTTTTGGAATTATCTGATTATTTTATTTTATTGCATCGAGTTCAATTAAATATATAATAATAATACTTACAGAGAGAAACAGAAACAACTTAAGGAGGAAAAGAAAGAAAAGCGCAAGACACAAAAAGGTGAAAGGAAGAGGTAGCAATCTAAAAGTGAAGAGCAATAGTGTTTATTTTTACCTTAAGTAATTAATTATTCATTAAAATGTCCTAGAAGAATTTACACTTTGAAATATTGTTTTTAATTAAATTATAGTATAAAAAAATCTAAATAGTTTAAATAGCATTCCTGTTAAAAGATTTAGAATTAAACTTTTATAACTTCTTATTATCTACATTTTGTTTTCATATAAATATTACCCAAAAATTGGAAAATGACAATATTTTTTGTATTGTTAAATAATGCTATCTTTATGAATTTTGTATAGTTCATGCGATTAAATTGCTGTGTAATGAAATTGTTTTGTATTGAATATTTCTTAAATGTACCAGTGATTTTCTAGGATATTTTAATGGATGTTATCAAAGTCATTATGTAACCCTATTAATATTATTGTTATTAAGTGGCATGTAATTTGATGATTTTCATCCACATGTTATAATTGAATGTTCCTTGTTGATTTGTGAAGTTTGTTGTGGTCTTTAGCTATTTTTGTGTACAAAGGATAGTAATTGAATCTTTCAAGGTAATTTATGTTTATAGTGTAAACCCAAGTTTTTGACAGTCTAATAGTTTGCCTCATTACTCAGCTCAATAAGTCAACGGAGATTGTTGAAGAGCAGTGGATGTTCATCCAATTTATGGATTGAGTTAAATGTGCTGCTAATCCAATTATCTCATAATTTTATATCACATTATAAGATAGAAAATTGAGTATTTGTATTAAGTTTTAAGTTCATTTTTGTACTTTCAGCTTAGAATGGTAATATTTTATTTAATAAAAGCAGTTTTTTTATGTTAGTATATAATAACTATGTATTTTTAATGGTGTTAGGTTGTCCTAATGTCCTTTTTAGAAAGGATGATTCACTGTGGTAAGGATACATCACACACCATGCTTATGGCAATATTGAGATCTGGAATAACCATTTTTTGGTTAAATAAAATGTTAATTGTATTAGGAAATTAAATCAAGAATAGACCTAACTAAGGAAACTGAAAATGGACAAGTTCATCATGTCTGTAATTTTTATATATTTATTTTATAAAATTCTAGGTCAATACTCTCCATTTTATGAAGTTTATTTTAAGCATTCAATAAGTGTGTACAATATTACATGATTAAGCAATATTTTTTTTCCCTTATTGGTTATCATTTGAATCTTTACAATTTTTAGTGACTATGAAATTATGAGCACCACCAGAATAAATTTGATTTATTATGTTATCTGGATGGTAATCAAAGGGTATCATAGTAGGTGTTGAAATCACTGGTTCCATAGATATTCCTGTATTAGCATGCTCATTCCACCCCCATGCCCATAAAGTGTTGTCCTCAGCTAAACATATGGTATGCTCTGAACCCAATGTAATATCTTTTATTTTGATACCGCCTAAAAAAAATGTAACCTTGTTAAAATATTATATACAGTATTTTATTTCAAAAATTTACAAAAGGGCTAGATCATTGTCATTACTTCATTAAGAAGAAAGTCCATAATGAATAGTATTATAATAATATCACCATAAAATGTAAACAGACCTGGAAGCTTAATCTGAATTATTTTTCCAAGAAAGGGCTCATCTGTACCAAGTTGAGAGTAATTATTTCGACCCCAAGTTAAAATTGTACCATCTTCAAGCCATAAAAGTATGTTAGTCCATCCACTTGCCAACTTTTTTACTTTCTGTGTTAGCTTAATATTGACTTTCTCTGGCTTATAAATATTTCTAATCCATACATTTTGCTTAGTAATATTACATTGTTGGAGTAATTGTCCATGTTTATTATCACCCCATACATATAGAACATTTTCTACTGAAGACCAAGCAACAGTGTGATTTTGTCCACATGCCACATGTGATATTTTACCAATATTTTGAACTTTTTGGAATCTATCTAAAAATAATATTTCTTTCCCTAGACCCAATTGGCCATGTTTTCCATTTCCTGTAACCCATACTTCCCCTTTAGAATTAATAATTGCAGTGTGCCTCAAACCCATTGATACTTCTCTTGCATTTACTTGTAATCTAATTGGTTTCTGGATTTCAGGGAACTGTGATTTGGGCAAACCTAACTGTCCGTTGTTATTAGAGCCCCATACAAAAAGGAAATTATCATCTGTAACTGCACAACTGAAATCCCATCCAGAAGCAATATTGATGAATTTGATACCACTTAAGCACCATACTCTTTGAAAATTTTCCACAGTTTTTATACATTTATCCCCTATGCCCAGTTGTTGATTTAAGTTCCATCCGCATGAATACAATTTACCTTCATCATCTAAGAGAAGAGAGTGACCACCACCACAAGAAATTTGTTTAATTGTGTGACAGAATTGTGGAAGTGGAACTTCGGTTGGTGTCTCAACTTGTTCACTTAGCTCCAGACCTAGTTGGCCATGAGAGTTCGCTCCCTGAAATGGTAAAACTTTATCACTTTGAAAAGTAAGTTAGTATTTACTAAATATATTGTTTTTACCCATGCCCATAACTTCATGTTTTAGTTATCTTGAACTGAAACCGGAGTTATTATTTATGTTTTATCATTACGTATGAGTTATTTCGATTAATTATGAGTACACACAGTTTTAGGAAGTCTTTCTTTCGGTAAAAGCAGTTTAAGTTACAATAGTAATTGATCTTACTCCGTTTAAAGAAAATCTATTCTTCTAATCTAAGGCAGTTGGGGAAAAAACTAATAATAATAACTACGTACACTGTATTTTTTGAAGTTTGACATTGACATATTGATACCAACGACAATTTACAAATTTTTTCTTATGGATTTTGTGGCCCTGTATCGAGTACCTTTAGGCCAACTGGTAAATATTATCCCAATGTTTAACGCATGCCTTGACACGTGTGCGGTCCCACCTAACGCGAGGGCCGAACCAAACTTGTGGAGTCTGGATTCTGACTATCATACGAGCTCTGCGTTCAATAAAGTTTTAACAGAATGAAGACAAGATCGGTAGTATTCATATAAAATTTCAAGAAAGGAGAGTACAACGAAGTTGGTGTAACAATGACATGAAGATGCTGTTCGCTTCGATCTTCGCATTAGTGCGCTGTGGTAGATGTGTGTGCCGTAAGAATGCCATGCTAAACCATGATAGCGTATTGTTAGTCATAGACCTGTTAGTGCTTCTATTGAATTGCGAATTAGAAAAAAATTATTTGACACCAATAACGCAAATAATTCGTCGTAGGAATTGTCTAAACGATTAAAAGACGGGGGGTCATTTTGAACGTGCGATCCGAGGGGCTGTAACCAACGAATGTGATGGTGGGAGAGTTTGTTTTAGGGTCGCGTGGTAATTTGGCGTTCCGCATATGCCACGGAGCGCCGGTTCCGCTTCAGAGAAATGTTAAAAATGTTTTGAATCAATTGCATTGGTTTCAATTTTTTGGAGGAAATATGCATGAAACACACCCGTTATTCTGGGACATATATACATGATTGTATAAATGAACTTTGCGTCATAGCCTCATCTTATTAGACCCGCGCGGAGTGGGCCAAATAAGGCTTTAATTAATCATAACTAACAATAATCTTCATGACTTATTACCTGATTTTGCTAAAAAGGATTAACTTTCATATTATTTTAGTACCTGGAGGACCGAGCTTTGCTCGGTTTGTTTTTTTTTTTTGGTAAATCGTGTATTTTGTAAATTACATTTAGATACAAATTACTGAGTAATGAAATATGCATAATATTTTTCGATCTTACCTACGTAATAGTAAGAAAATATGAACTGGTGTTTTTCACAAAAAAAAACTTTAAAAAAAAAGGGAAAAAATAACAAAATCATCTGGATCGACATAAAACAAAAATAAAGAAAACAATGATCTGGAATCGAAAAAAAGTAAAAAAAAATAAGTGTGTAAATGATCGAGACACGAACCACGGCCTTCTGTTTCGGGGCCGCCCGATTACCGACCGAGCTATTATTTTTCGCCTCCGAATCTACGCACATACTAAATTTGATGAAAATCGCTGGAGCCGTTTCCGAGATTCCAATTATATATATATATTTATATATACAAGAATTGCTCGTTTAAAGGATAAGATATATTTTATCAAGTTATTTTCTTTCTTAATCTTTTAACTGTGGTGGGGTCACGCAACGTCAACTATGGCACGAACGGATAGGTAGATCCAGGGAAGTTCTACGACCTCATAGAACCCGGCCTGGCATAAAGTAGAAGATTTAACTTCTGTGTTTACTGAGTAAGGTAGCGGACCCATTTATTATAAGGTGGTAACGAACCTGCAAGCCTAAGGGTGTTGCAACGAATCCAATTTATAGTTCAAACATCGTACCAATTTTCGGTTTAGTGAATTTGTGACAAATATGCATCACCGTATTATGCCACCTTCAAATACAAATGCTAAATGGTTACTGACAGCCCAAGCCGAAGTCCTCTCTAGCCTAGTTACTCCATGGAGCGTCCGCTAAAGCGACCAAAGAGCTTGGCGGCATCCTAAAGCGGTAAAAATAATAATAGCGTGAAGGCCCGAGTCGAGGCTCTCTCGGAAGCCACCACAAACCCGGTGGTTCCAGCCAAAAAGCTGTGTACGGCGACGCTTCAGCATCTCGTTGTTCATGGGCGGCGGTTATCACTTAGGTTATTTCAGGTAAACCGCTAGAGCGCTGGCCACCTTCTCACCTAAAAAATCTACTGATTATATCTTAATGTCAAGTCTCACTCTCATACTACATTAACGCAATTTTGACAATTTGTAATATCATTCAGATATTATATACAAAGACTAGCTGACTCGTCAACCGTTGTTTTGCCATATAAAAATAAAAAATTTTGGGGTGGACCACCCTTGAAAAATAGATGTTATCCGATTCTCCGCCAAGCATTTCTAAAATTGAATTTATTTTATCGAATTTCTCCCATCAATATATCGTTATAAAATTAATTATAATAAAATGGTAGTATACATACTGAACCGAAATATTTTTTGTTCGTTTTTCTGTTCTTTTCTTGTTTGTTTTTACCTTGCATTGAAATTTGTATATGAAATCTTTACTTTTTTAATTTTATATTTTTTTATTCTAATATTTATTATATATTAATTTTCGTAAATTTCGTATTATGTGCGTCCCGCCAAAAAAATTGAAATTTAAATTAGCCCATTGATTAAAAAGGTTGCTCACCCCTGATCTATATCATTAAATATCATTGATTGAACCGTTATTTAATATGTTGTGAAGGTCAATTATTCATGTAAAAACACAAGATACTTTTGTTACGGTACATTAGACAGAGTTACTGGTTCATCATATCTTTTTGTTGTATTTCTAACTGGCTAGCACTTGACTGCCATCCCACCTGATGCTAAGTGGCGATGCAGCGTTTGATGGTAAGCGCGCTAGCTCAGTAAATCTCTACATAAAACAAAAGATATTGTTAAAAATACGTGGGACACTCGCAGTTTTTTTCCTATGTGCACCACCTACCGTAGTATATATTTCCTTTACGCCATTGGTGGATAATAAAAGTGCATTCATTAATTTATTCAAAGTTTTGGAAACACACACAAACACAAAATATAAAAATCTTGGCGTTGCTCTTCAGCTATAGTAGGGGAACTAATGAGAGAAAAAAGAAAAAGTCCTGGGTAAAAAAGTTTTTTTCTAAGTGATAAGAAGAAGGCGGTAAGAAGCTGGCACTTCAGCTTGTGTTAAGTGATAACCGCCGCCCATGGACATTTGCAACATCAAAATCGTTTCATATATGTTAACTTACTTTTGCCTGTGTTCACTAATAGATTAAATTAAATTATCTATTTAAAAGATATATACAGGTATCATAGGTCAACATGAGTAGATGCATATGGAACGTGAATGACTCTTCGGTTCAGAGAACACGGCTGTAATGTGGCGTAGCGGCACAGCGTTGCATAATTTCTCCTCGTAATTGCTTGCGACGAGGACGAGCACTTGCTCGTTAGCAAAGTAGTGCTGTCTGCTTGTGCCTGAAATATAGCGTAAGAATATCGACATGTCGACATGTCAACAAGTCGACATTACAAATACATACAGTTTCTTTTGTATGTATTTACTACAACACTAGGTGCGCAAATATTGAGAAGTTAGATATCGATGGTCATCTTTACATAAATCTAGTATATAAAATTCTCGTGTCACGGTGTTTGTAATTGAACTCCTCGGAAAGCGCTCGACCGATTTTTTGTGTGCATATGGGCCAGGGTGGAGAATCGGACAAAATCTATTTTTCATCCCCCTACATGTTAAGGGTGGTCTACCCCAAATTTTTTTTTCTACCCTACAAATAATTTATATGGCAAAACAACGTTAGCCGAGACAGCTAGTTATAATACAATTTTATATTATACAATTCTTCCGTGCGTGACTGAATTCCTCCTAAACGGTTGGACCGGTTTTGAGTAAAATTTTTGTGCGTGTTTTAATGGCTTCGAGAATGGTTTCGATTTACAATTCGGTCTACTACAAAATAGTTTCTTAGTTATTTTTTTTATTTATAAATTCTTGTCGGATTTAAGACCTGTGTACGGGACATCTGTCGGTTCCGCTAGTGGTTCTATATTATTAATTTTATATTTAATTTTGAAAAGTAATAGGCCTTTTGAATTTTATTTTAAACAGGCAACGGTTTGGTCGAATGAAACGGAACAAAATATATCAATGCATGTCTACGAAAAATCTGTGTATATATAGTATGTGTAGAGTACAATTAGTGTTAACTGTATATATATAAAATATTTTTTATTTATCGTGGCAAATGTAGTTTCGAATAATATCTTTAATTGGTTTTTGTCAGAAAAATGGTATGTAGTCACAGCTTCCTCGTTTTCGCAATATCAAAGCAGTGAAACAAATTCGTCACTGGTCTTTAATGTAGCAAAAAGATTTAATGTTTTGTCGCACTGTAAAATGGTGAGTCAGTAAAGGCGGTTCCTCACAGTAGACGAGACTTCTTTGCAAGGAAGGCGATGAGGTCAGAAAACCCGCTCTTTGACGATTCGAGTAGCTCTACGATGGAGTCAGTTTGAAGGAGCTGGGGTGAGCCAAAAAGGAGATGAGAACGTCCCACGCGACCGAAAGTGAGCTTTGACTACCATCATCATCTATCCTTAAAGCATTTGAACACTTTAGACTCGCCTTATTATATTAAATTATTAAAATTTGTTGAATAAGCACGAAAAGATTGTCGCTGCTGTGGGAATCGAACCCACGTCTTCGACATTCGCGGCCTAACGCTTAAGCCACTAAGTTAAACGGCTGATTGTCGCACCGAAAAAAATCTAAACGTCTTTTATCTACATTGTCTTTTAGCATTTGAAGCAATGCTTGGCGCATCCATTGTTATATCCTTTCCAGCATACAAACAATTTCGAAAATCGTTTTACAACGATAATTCGAACGAGAGATGTCACCATTGCTTTTTTTTAGAAATTTAATTTTTTTATAGAGCTAATCTCTGCACTTAAGATTAAACATAATAATTTGTAGTAAAAGTACGAAAAGATTGTCGCCACTGTGGGAATCGAACCCACGTCTTTAGAGTGTCAGGCCGCGAATGCCGAAGAAAGTATGCTGGAAAGGATATAACAATGGAACACTTTTTTATACATAAGTAAAGTAAAGAGGGTCTCCTCTGTATAGAGGATATAATGGGAAAGTCCACCACACGATTCCGCTGCGGATGCGTAGACTTCACTGAAAATATTTTTTATTAGCATTTTGAAAATATGCAGGTTGTCTCACGACCACAGCCGAGCAGGTGATAAGTCTAAATTGTAATTAACAATTTCATAGGTGCCAGCATCGGCAATTGAACGATCTATCACCCGAAACTAAGCTATAAACATAAATAAGCAGATATACTATACAAATATACCACCCTTCTTTGCTGCACCATATGAAAGGAATAACAGCCTCGTTCTTAGGAATAAGACGCAGCCGTTAGCACTGCTGCATTGCGTTTTACCACAATTCTATTTTTTTATAATGAGATCTTTACAAACTTAATTTTAATAAAAGATCTTCAAACAAGTTGTTATAGCAAGATGTCTTATAAGAAAAGGCAGTAAATTAATTTTTATGATTCTTGCCCGTGTAAATAAATTAGTAGAAAAGATAAATTGTTTGTTTTATGCAAAGTGGTTCTAAGACGGTTTTTTAGCGATTATAGGCAAACTCTATCCGAAAAAACATAGCAGTAGGTATGTACTACTGTTATGTGTTTTGAGTAAAGTATAAAATAAAACGGTCTACCATCTTATAGTCTCTTATCCAACGTATTATCTTAATGGCCACACCATACTCAAGATGTCAAGCCTTAGGGCTTTACGCACTCTAAGAAAGCTTCGGTTCTCTTGAATTTTCTGCATTTAATTCTACGACTGTAATTTATAACATTTTTTTGAGTCACCTCCCAAAAATAGAATATATTTAGTAAAATGATAGTTGAAAAAAATATAGGTAAGTAAGCACAAACCAAGTTTACTATCGATTTTAGACAAATAAAAAAATTATAATACCCAAGTGAATGGGCTATTGGTTGAATGAGGTTGATGATATTTTGATGGTTGGTTGATGATTTTGCATAAAGATTTATTTTCGCAAAGGCCTGCATGATAACATCAAACAGTGTGTAGGTGCAGCTACATTTGAAAACGACTATCGAATAATCTTTAGAATTATTTTTATAGAGCGTTAAAAATTCATAAATTCAGCTGTAACCGTCAATGAGGCAATCTGGCAACAGCGATGGCCACATCTATTATAAGATGCCAAGGCTGTGGCTTTTGCCTTATTACGAAAATCAAAACAACAATTATTAAGACTAGTTATATACAACAAATATTAAAACTAGTTTTAATAATTTGTGAAGATTAACAAATTATTAAGACTAGTTTTGAGTGCAACTATAAGCAATGGTGTATATAAGTATTTTTAATGTATAAAAAAAATTAAAACACACTGAGGTAAAAAGTCAACACCCCTTCCACACATGTATTATTTAAAGGCTGAACGTTCAGCGCTTTGTAATATTAAGCAAGCACTGTGCGATGCCTCAGCAGGAACGCCAGGTATAAATATTTCAAAAGGCTATTATTTCAAGTTGCTTTTTTCTGTTGTTTTTTTAATAATATATGGTGGCCAATTTGAATATAAAGATATAACCTTTTAAAGTATTTTTTTTAATTGAACAAACTTACTCTATTATATGCATATATATATATATATATATATAGTCAGGCCATATATTGTCAGGCCATATATTGTCAGGCGAGCTGAGCGTTCACCTGATGTTAAGTGATTACCGTCGCCCATTAACATTTGCAATAACGGTTGCAGATACGTTGCCACTTTTTAATAAAGCGGGTCCGGTTACTCACTTAGACGACGAACGCCTGCCACTTCACGCCGGTATTCTGAGAGGTCGTGGTACTTCCCTGACGAACTGATGACGGTGAAGAATGTTGCGTGACCCTACCACAGTTAGGTATTATACAGGGAGGCTTTTTAAGTGTATCCACTTTTTTTAATAATTTCTAGACATTAATAATGTTATATAAAAATGATAAATATTTAAAATCACTCGTAATTAATTAAATACATTTATTTGAACTTATCTCAAAAAGTGCGTGATTTATGGCAATTAATTTATTTTACGCGCGATCATTCATAGCTAACACGCACACAAGTTCGTTTCAAAATTATACGATTGCATGTATGCATTTATGAATGACTACCGCAAATTTTGGTTTTTAGGGAATGGAATGGAATTTTTTTAGAGAAAAAAGTCTGTTTATATTTCAATAAACGATTATACTAGCGAGTTTAAACCTACTGTGTGAATTTGGGCACCTTTAGATAAGCCACCCTGTATGTTAAATATTGCAAGAAAACTTATTTATTTTTTATTCTACAATTATATATATCACCAACTTAAATATATCTCAAAAATATAATATTTTTTCTTATATATTTAAGCTAAAAGCGATTATGAACATTTTTTGAGTAAAACATTGAAACTTTTTTAAAAATATGTATAAATAGTTGAGAAACCGTTTGTTCAATAATTACATTGGGAAACTCACAAAATTGCATGATTTTTACATTTATTATACATATATACATAATATGTACATTCTATATTTTACGAAATCTGTTGAAACGTAACTAAGGTAAAAATTGTGGAGCGGATAATTTAAAAAGTTTAAGTGCAAAAGTTCTACCATTATGCGGTTTTATACCTTTCACTTTGAGAGGTAAGAGTTTGACTATGGCTAAGTTGTTATAAGTCGCATTAGTATATTTCACCATGAATCAACTCAACAAAGCCTAAACGTTAAGGAATACATTCTGTGCATTTTAATTTAATGTAAGATATTTTTTTTTATTTAACGGAAAATAACTTTCATGTTATTAATCATAAAAAAATAATATTTCTAAGCTATGTGAATTCCGTCGTTGCGCAGTGGAGCCGCGTCAGGCCTTTGCTCAGCAGTGGGACATGATTGTATAGTATAGGCTGTTAGCTGTTAAATATGATATAAATAGTCAAATTGCTTAACATTTATTTTTAAAGCGTTTACAATATTTATCTTTAGACTTTTTAAATATCTCTTTAAAATTTTGAAAGATGTTCTGTAGTCTGTATTAAGTCTTTATTATCTATTATCAAAATACTTGTCGGCGGTAACGGGTGTACAGTTTTCTTTTTTCGAATTTCACCCACATTGCTCTACAGGCAAAGACTCAAGCTCAATGACTTTCTCCGTGACCCATTTCCGAAAATACACTATGTCGGTGTACATTGAGGGAAGCATATCGGAACCACAAAAGATGTCTCGCCCCAATGCAACGACGCCCACTAATGATCTGGAAATTAAGATGTCGTGAAGTACTTCATATACTTATTTTTAAAACATTACTATAGTCAAAGGGTTATGAACATTGCTCTGTTTACGAGCACATATTAAACTTATACGAACCCAGATCTAGAAGGAACTGCTTATGGAAATTGGGAATCAAGTTGCCTATGCTATAAGTTTGGCTATTATTTAGTTTGGCGAATTAGTTGGCGGTTAGATTGAGATAAGTAAAAATTTAATGGTTTTTTTATTTATTTCATATGGTATTACATATCATGGTTTAGATAAGCATAAGCGTCTTAGTAGGGTCATATGATATAGTCATACTGTAGCTTTTGCTTTTCTAGAATAGCCAGATTCGTCAGCGAGGTACTAGGGCTTCATAGAAGATGAATGTATTATTTTTGCGTTTCGTTTGCGAGTAAACTAAACAGATATACCATTTTAAAGATTAGCAAAGTATCTGCAAGACACTAATGTTTGCGTCTACGGGCGTCGTTATTTCAAAGAAATTAGTACCATCTAATAACCCATTTTGCCAACCGCCAGTCGTTTCTACTCTAGTGCACACGAAAACTTTATTAAAAAGTGACAAAAAAGCTTTTTTTACTTAGAAACTTGACTTCGAAGTAACACGTAAAAAATTGATACAGCTATAATGTTTTTTATGTAAGAAAAGTAGCAAGCGAGCTGACGGTTCACCTGATGGTAAGTGATTACCACCGCCATTGGATATCTGCAACACCGTAAGGTCGTAGATATGTTGCCAGCTTTTAGTAGTTATAAGGCAAGTTATAGGGTATAAAGCATTATAAAAACATATTCACCTTTTCCAAATAATCCCCGAACCGGAATCACCATAACAATCGCTTGCCCAACCCTTGCCTATCATGCAAAACATATGATCTGGGACGTTCATAACATTTCTGAATGATTGGCTTTCGTTACATTTTTTTGTGCTAACGTAGTACATTCGGGTCGCTTTTAGTTTGATAGACGGACCGGAGGGAAATGAACTCTGTAAAACGATAATTACTTTTTTTGTTAAAGCACTAATTCGTTATTACCTAATTCCCACTTCATTAATATTATAAATGTGAATGTAAGGTTGTTTATTACGAAACTTTGTACACATATCCTTAAAAAGGACTATTTTTATTAAAATATAATATTTAAAAATAAGTTATTTATTAAAGGTCTTCAACGCGAGCGAAGCTGCAGGTTAAAAGCTAGTATATAATAAACTGAAGTAGCGACACTCGTTTACTAAGTATAAATTCAAGATCCCGATCATTAAACCTTATTAAACGGTAGAGTTCAAAGTTTCTGAATGCTGCCTTTAAATTTTCAATCAAATTTAGATGCTTAAAGTTTATATAATGCTTATTTCGATTATACTTCAAAATAAATATATTTAAATTACATGGTTAACTAGTAGAATTCGTATTCATTGAAGAGCAATCAGTAAATCAGTTATTAGCACTATCCGCCGCAACTTGCAATAGCACACACAGAAAAAAATAATTAATATAAATAATAATATTAATAAATTATCAATTAATAAATAAATAAATTAAATAATTGGAATAGTCGACATAAATGTACAAACATTTATTTTTATTTGTAAAAAGAAGAAAACTACATTCCCTGACGAACTTGACCATTCGTGCAACATCAATGCCTGCTGTGTGGCTCTGTGAGTTTGGCTGAGATATCGTGTTTAAAAAGTAATAACACGAGTTAATAATAATCTAATTGGTGACAATTCTTTAATTACATGTGATTGATAATTAGTTTTACTAAAATGGCAATGCACTCCTATTCAATATCGTAAAGATGATAAGGCATAATTTGTATCTGAAACTATGCATCTATATTTTAAAAGAAGTACGAGTATACAAGAAAAAGTTTGACAACTGAGTGTATGTCTATGGAAAAACATTAGATGCATTTAAAGTTTCAAATAATATTGCTTCGGGTAATGCGTTTTTCGAATAATGCTTCGAATTTATATTGTCTTAAATAAATCAGGATTTCATTTATAAAATAATAATTTTAAATGGTATTGCGCTATTAATTGTGTGATTTTTTTTTATGTGAAAAGTTGAAAAACGAGCAGACAGTTCACCTGATGGTAAGTGAATACCGCCGCCCATGGACATCTACTACACCCGGGGGTTACAGATGCGTTGACAACCTTTTGGAAAATTGGGCTCCGGCTACCTCACTCACCAGACGAAACGCGAAAGTAGTTCTCATACTTCCACTTTACGCTGGTCTTCTGTGGGGTCGTGATACTTACCCGGACGGGCCTGCCCATTCGTGCAACAGCCGAGGCTGCTGCGTGGCCCTACCACCGTAGAAACCGTGATGGTGTTGCTGTTTCCGTGTTTCGATTTTAAGTGATGATCACCGGTGTATTGGTTTATTACCTTTAATTACATAGTACATATTTGAATTTGTTTTATATAAGTCTCACCGAAACAGCTCCGAAACCAGCAATGGTGAACCCAAATTTCTCGTTCCTAAAAGATTCTGTGTTTGCGATTTTCATCATTTTTACCGAGCGTCCAAATTTTATTTTTTCCTGTAGTGAAACCAACCCTAGGTCATAGTAATAGAAGGATATTTCGTTCCTTCCTGAGTAATTTTCGTGTGGAACGAGTTTGCAAATGTTGTAATTAGCTCCTTCCCTCAGCCAGTCCGATCCTAAAATGGCGATAAATTGTTGCAAAATTCAAATTTTATTTTGTGTCGGTTAATATTTGATGAAGTTATATTATTTATTAATTGTTACAAATGTTGTTTTTAGCTCCGTTCAGCCATTCTGATCGTAAAATTACGAATAAATAGTGAACGATTGATATTTTATATGGTGTCGATTAATACTTGATCAATAATTATTTACAGTATGTGGTAAAGAGTAAATAAAGCAACTGAATTTATTTAACAGAATAATTGCGAGGCCAATAAGACATTATTACATAATAAAACTAGGAGCTCATTTCATTTCCGAAAGTCAACTACAGGGGCAGTTAACCTTAAACAAAACCACGTTAATATCACTTTAATGGCCTAAATGACCTTATTTCACATATAAATATATAGTTTAAACGAACAAACTTTGTCTATATTTATCTCCATTTTGTATCTCGCAAACGGCTCTAATGCTTTGTTTTAAATTTTGCATTTAGCGGTCTTGTTTTTTATATTTTTTCATGGATGAATTTAAAAATCAAAACGAATCGTTTTGCTTTTTAAGTTCATCCAGGTGACATCTATCGCATTATACATTACGCTTTAAAGCAGAGTTCCCCAAACTTTTTTGTGTCGTAGACCCTTTGCCATGTTTTTCCGTGTTGGGTAGACCAAAATATTTTTCTTAGGCCTTCTCTCCTTATGTCCATCCAACCATACAACCTCTGTACCGAGGCGGTCTTTGCCCAACAGAGGATTTGATGTATAGAATTATTTAAATTATTTAACTGATACTTTTAGGGCAATTACATTAAAGGACGTATAAATAAAATGATATTAAATCTATTAGCACTGTTTTCTTATACAAATATGTATATATGATCGTTCGACTTAATCGTTTACTCACCTAAATAGACCATAACCTCGTTTGGAAGCACAACTTGACCGTCATCTCCAAATAAGCAATGAGCCGCAGTTAATATGACACGTTCACTAATAATTGAACCACCGCACAATTGTTTTTTAAAGAAAAGTTGAGCAACATGGGGATACATTGATATCGGTACATCAATACCGGCCACCACAAGGCCCTCAAGGGAAGCTGAAACAAAAAAAGAAAATAAAAAACTGAAATTAAATGATAATACAAAATACAAAATACGGGATTATATTGGTTTCCAACATTCTTTATTTCTGATATTTTTTTATAATGAAACAGTTGCTTAAGTTAACCTTCCATTTGTTGTGCGTTCATAAATTTTAATAGAGTGGTAATGAACAAAGTAAACAATGTTAAAATAGTGTTCATTTTTCACAACGCAAACAATATTGAATAGAGAGATTTGAAAACGATAATTTGCACATTCCTTTGTTTAATTAAAAACCGTATAATGAAATTAGTAACGGTACAACCAATACATATCCTATAGGTTTTTCTGAAACTTCTATAAGTTTAGCAGTTATAGATTCTTTTAATTATCCCATAATAAAAATGTTATTTCAATTTAAGATGAAAATAATAATTTTTAAATATAATTGTATAACCTTAATGGTTATAACTAAAATGAAATAAAGAACCAGTGTATTAGAATAGTCTTACTCAAGGAGATTTCACTCGGCATGACGCCGTTCATGAATTAAATTCGGTAGGCTGCTCCCGAAACTTGGCAGTCCGGACAACTCCTGTCGTCGCCTTTACGCCTCCCTGTGGGTCGTTCCTTAAAACCTCCAGCGCTTTTACGCAAAAAGGTGTTAGCACTCTAGGTCATACGTGGCTACCGCACAATTTTCCGGTGAGGTGGCGTGTATTTCGGCTGCCTTTATGTCCTGGGACCTAAAATTTGAGATCCTTCCGCCGAAGAGTGTAATTCTTGGCGGGATGAGGCAAAAGTCCCGAGCCTTAACTTGCCCGGAGGAGTTGAGGGAGCGCTGGGATAGTCAAAGCTCAAACGCCATATGAGAGTGGGAGCAGAGGCTGGAATGCCACAGTGCGGGTTTAAGAACCATGCAGGTATTAATATCAGATTAAAAATGCGAGATAGAGCTGCGTTCATTTCGGACCAACTCTATAGCTTAATTAGCCCCTCAATTTAATGCTGGCTTGCGTACCTCCTATAATGTAGCGATGGCAAAATCCCGACGCTACGAAAACTCTTTAAAGAGCTAATTATACTGTTCAACGAAAACAATTCCAATGATCTAGATATGCAAACAAATTACTAACCCGATACAACGACCAGGTTGAGGAAGGGACACCGTCGGTCGCGCTAGACAACGCTATATACTCACATATTGTCAGCACACAATCTATTAGTTCATCCTGGCAAAACCAACCCACGTTCCTGGACGATTCTCACCGTCCCCAGCCACGGTATAATATAGTCAACGGCCGTGACATATCTCCCGTTTATGATAACGCACGCAAGGCACTGCGGGATAGAGTTCGCAATGAAAATATACACAGTAGAATAAATATAACCGACGAAGCTTAGCGGGTTGATAAGCTTAATTGACGATGGGCCGATGGATGGCACTAGATGGTGTGACAACCTTTGCAAATGTGCGGGGAGTCGGTGGATGCGGGTGTCTCAGCGATGGACTCAAACAGGCTGCATGGTGAAATGATGATGACTTCTGGCCAAGGCCAAACAATTGAATCATAAATCCAGCTACTTAAAAGTACGAAATTTATTTGATTCGGCTTTTTCTTTCGAGTTGCTGACTTTAAGGAAAATTCTCCATGCCGTGTCTTATTTCAAAGATACCATTACTCGAAACTCAGATTGTTTACTTGAAAAGTGAGCTGTTTTTTTTTAAATTTCCCAGGACAAATAAAATCGCTAGTCTAGAAATAGTGCGATGGCACGTGTCCAATTCTTGATTTAGCCGTTTTGCTTCTGTTATGTTCGCCTTTTGAAAATGGCTTCTCCATGAAAGATACATTTTCGAAAAATATATAATTTCCGAAATCGTCAATATACAGCGTGTCGTTACCATCGCGACAATAAATAAACACACATATAGGGGATAACTTTTTAAAGTTGTATTAAACATTTAAATTCTTTAAACATCAATATTTACAGAGTTATTAAATTTTTCAAAACAAAGAATTTTAGAACAGCCTTACCTATAAAAGCGTAACGTAAAGTTCATTTGTAAAGGTCACAAAGCATATGAATGAGTTGAATGAATTTAAAAGAGACAAAACATACTGTTAGAAGGAGAGGCATGTAATACGACGCTGTGGCGCGAGTTGTATAGGATGTTCCAAATTTTGTTTCTTTTTTACTTAATTAGTTTGTTTGAAAAATATTTTTTTTTAATTATGGATTTTGTTTAACGTTAATATTTTTTTATGATTATTGGCAAGTAGCGTTAGACGTGTGTTCATTTATTGTCGCGATGGTAACGACACGCTGTATATAAATGATTTATCTGTTTGTATATTTTATTATTATCTAAGTTAAATAATACCCTTTGACCTATGACTATGACTTTATACTAGTATGTATGTACTTTATAAAAAATTTATCTAAATTACATAAGTATTATCTACACAAAGCTAGTTCCCGCGGCATGGTCCTAAGAACGCTTGCAGCATTTCCTCCCTGAATAGTTATGCTTAACTTTTCAAAGAACCATTCTAGTTTATTGAATTAAAGTTGATAAACCATAAAAATTTATTTATTAACAAATGCTTTATCTACGTTATATAATTATTTAAATGTTACGTTACCTATATATTAATACGTGAAGCAAAAGCTTTGTACCTTTTTACGAAATTGCGCGGACGGAGGAGTATGAAATTTCCCACACTTATAATTTATATAGAGAAGGAGTGCAGTCTGTTATTTTTTTATTTAAACATAAAAATACATTAAATCAATAAAAAAAAACATTCCACTACCATTAATTTAATGATGGTCGAATTTCGACCTCTAGGCGACCACTAGTATAATATATTATAATTGTATGTATTTTTAAATAATTAGATTAGTCTTTTCAAAGTAGTCGCATCAAATGAATACTTACAGTTTTTTTATGTTACTACAAGATAATCTGTGTACATATTTCTCAAATAAATTTTTTGCACTATTTTTTACTCGTGGAACGTCAGATCACGACAACGATGATTTTCGGATACAGATGCTTTATCTGCGGCAGATGCAAACAACCTTCTGACAGCGACGGGTGTGCCCTATGCGATCACAAGTGACAAGATCGAGAGAGGGGCCTCCAAACAATAATATGAAGGGTCATATGTGTGCAGCAGTGAACACGGCGGCCTACTCGGTGTGGAGAAAATAAACATTCGTTATAAGATGAGGAGGAATGGAGTATAATAGGAGATCTTCCCCAGCTTAGCCTTAGTATTTATAAGCCAATAATCTTAGATTTAATAGTAGAACTCTACCATTGTGATACACACAGGGTCTCTTGTATCTTGTATTAGTAAGGAAACTTACAACAAATTATTTTCGAACAGACCCACAAGTGAAGCATCGATCTATGTGTGAGTTATTTGAAGTATACCAGTTGAATGAAATTTTGCACTTTTTTATAATTTCCAGTTATATTCGTTAATTTTAATGAAGCGGTGCAAGAACGCCTTTCAGTAATTAATTTAAATGAAAAAAATATGAGTAAAATTTAAAATTAAGCATTTTTTGTAATCCATATGTATAAAAACGTAATTCAATAGATTATGTTATAAAATAGTACAGATTTCAAATAAAAAACAGCAAAAGTAAAATCTTTCGCCTTTGGTTATTTTTTTATTATATATATGACTTAAACATTATCTTACTGCTATATAAATTCTCATTTATAAATATAACGAAATCTAATGGCCAAATATATTTCTGATTTGATCTAAGGAAGGTCCGTACGTCGGAGACCACGGTAAACATGGACTACAGAAACGATAAGTCTTCTTGCTAGACATGTTATCGAAGTGCCACCGGTGGTGGTTTGAATTTTAGTGTATTTCACTATGATGCGTCGGCTATCATTCGGCTTAGGAGAAACATACTCTTTGTTGGTTTGGACATTTCCGGCGTTATGAACATATCTAAAACTTTGGAACCACACTTGTTTGGGGTCATATTGGTGTAGTGTGAGGGTAGGCCACGTACGCAATAGTCATATTGGTGCTTGCAGCTATATGCAGTAATGCGATAGTATTAAACTATTATGATATTAAAAAAGAGACATGCGTTATTTGGCGGAATATTGAGGTATATTCGAGACGATCGGCCGTCAAATAATGAGATAACAATTCTTCAACCATTTTTCAAAGGGTTTGTATGTGTTTAATGCGGTACAAGATTAATGCCCAGTTTCCGAAAGGCCAATCAAAGCAGCAATCACATAACACTATGTCAAAAATGATCAGCTGTTAATCTCTTGTTAAACTGCCTCGGGTTTCTGGAAGGATTGTTCAAGAAAAATTAGCTAATCACTGTATAACCAATGATAATGAATGAAATGAATGATTTACTTCAACTAACTCTTTCTATTGTATAGCTGTCCCTTTTTTTTTTTTTTTTTTTTTCCTACTATGGCTCCACTGATACGTCAGTGATTTTGCCAATAACTAAGTACTTTGAGATCAACTTGATAAGGTGAGGACAATAAAAATGTATAATATTTTGTTTAAAAATATTTCATTTGCGTACCTGTAAACAAAGGAACAACACAATGTTAGTAACATGCAAATTAATAATGGAAGACAACACTCAAATATATGAAAAATACAAAACAGGACATAATTTTTTTTTTAAATTGACAACAACAACTTAAAGACATATATTGTTAATCTCTATAAATTTAACTAGAGTTTTAATAAATGGAGTATAAACAAGAGTTAATAGACACTTAACATTCACAGGGCGAGCAACATTGGATGGAAGTAAATCATATAAAGAGACAGTTAACAAAGGACAATTAAAAAATAAATGGTCAAGTGTACCCTCATCTAGCCCACATTCACACAAGGAAGTGTTTCGAATATGAAGCTTAGCCAAGAACACAGGAGAGCACACATGTCCTAGTCTTAACCTGATGATAATAGAAGTGGCAATTTTATTATAGCAGCGGTATTTAAAAAACCAAGGTTTGGTAGGAATAAATGGTTGAATTAAGCCATAGTATTTACACCTTCTATGTCCTATTGATTGCCACATAATACTCCAAGTTCTTATCATGTCCTGTTTAGAAGATCACGAACAAAACATTTAT